TTTTTAATTTGAAGGGGTTTATTTAAAATCATTGAGCGCTGCAGGAGTAAGTCCTAAAACGTGGAAATGAGTTAGCATATTTACACATTAAGTTTCCTTGTCTCAAAGTCAATGAATTTTGAATGGGTTTTTGGTTAGATGTGTTGTTCTCATCCCAGGTTATCCATATCGCTGCTTTGTCAGTGGCCTCTCACATCTACATATTCCGCGGTATCCTTCTGTGCCTGCTGTTGACGTTCCAGGATGCTGCTCCCAATGTCAGGACGTCAACAAAAGCACATGGTTAGGTTTAAAAAAAAAAAAACATCATGATTTGGCTCTAGGGTTGGGTATCGTGGCCAATTTCCTAAATCGATTCGATTTCGATTCATAAGGTTCTGAATCGATTAATCACGATTCAATTCGATTCGATTCAATCTGCTCTTAAATAATGAAAATGGCTCAACTGTGTTACAAAATACAAATGCACTTTATTTTTTCTCTTCACTATAAACAATAGGTTTTAAGTGCAAACATGTAAATTACAGCATACCTTGTCCTCAAGTTATTCTTTGCAGCAGCCTTCAAGTCCCTTACCACGGTGGAGTCTTCGAGGCTGGGGGTCAAGGCATCCTGCAGCAGGGTGAGAAGTGGGGTGATGACGGACAGAGTTGGTTGCTTGTCCTCCGACATTGCCAGTGTGGCTTCTTTCATTGGTTTCAAGACCAGCACCAAATCTTCGACAATCGTTACATCTTCCTCTGTTAAGGTGCACAGATCTTTTTCATTCCTGCGCACGTCTTGTGAAAGGAGAATGGAAGAGATAGCTGGCTGTTGTTCTAAAAAGCGCTCCAGCATGTCCAGTGCACTGTTCCACCTAGTCACAACGTCTACTGTTAGCTTGTGCGCTGGCAGTTGAAGTAGCTTCTGTTTTTCTTTCAGTATGTGGTTTGCCGTCGTACTCCGGTGAAAGAATGTTGCTATACGCCTCACTCGAGCAAGCAGACGTGACACGGCTGGGATTTTCAGACCTGCTTGTGAGGCTAAGTTCAATGTGTGCGCGAAGCATCAGAAGTGCATTAGCTGCATTATCTCCACCGCACGAACCATATTTGCAGCGTTGTCCATCACGAATGCTGGGTCTTTGCTGGTCAGCCCCCACTCCTGTATGGCCTCCGTCAACATATAAGCTATATTAATAGCGGTGTGGCTCGTGAGAACCTCGGTGGTCTGTAGCACATGAGACATGAGGCACCACTCATTGTCGATGTAGTGAGAAGTCACTGTCATGTATGACTGCGTTGACAGTGATGTCCAGGTGTCACAGGTTATGGCGACCCTCTCTGCTGACTGCATTTTCGTTAGGATGTCGTCTTTCACACGTGTATACATCATGGGGATAACAGTCTCAGTCAGATGTTTACGTTGCACCATAACGTAGTGTGGTTCGAGCACCTGAACGAGCCGCTTGAAGCCTTCGTTTTCCACTACGGAGTACGGGCGTAAATCTTTGCAAACAAAAGTTGCGATGGCCTCCGTTATCTTTATGGCCCGCGGAGAATCGGCTGGTAATGTTAGTGATTCCCTCAGTTTCTTTCGGCTTGTTGTCGGAAGCTAACGTTAGCATAGTGTGATACCTTGTCAAGTGGTTTCTGAGGTTTGTAGTATTTCTAAAATAACTGACCTCCGCTTGGCAGATATTGCAAACCACTTTGGTTTTATCCAGCTCTTTGTCCTGTGTTGTTTTAAATCCAAAATGCTTCCAGACGTCAGACTTAAGTTGGGACGGCTTGCTGAGCGGAGTTTTGCCTGCGTTGGCCATTGCGTGTCTGCACGCTTGTGAACGTCAACCGGACGTAAACGTGCCTCTGCGTCATCGCGCACGAGACTGGGGTTCATGGGAAAAAATTGATCTCATGCCCTATGGATCGATATTGCAAAATTTAAATGAAATCGATCCTAAATCGATTGAATCGATTTTTTTACCCAGCCCTATTTGGCTCTACATTCATATGGGAAGCAAACACTGCACTCCAGGGTGAAAGTCCAGCTTTGTTGGACCCATTCACTACCCATCCCTACCTTATAGGGACTTTCCAGCTCCTTTTATCACGTCATTACTGTCAGCATATCCCCCTGACGCCGTCCACTGGCATATCATACTACCGTGACAGGTGCTGTTCAGCTGCATTATGAACTGCCACCACCCATCCATGTATCATGCTGCTGTGACAGGTGACGTCTGGCCGTCTGGTGGCGCAGCACAACGCTGCAAAAGCTTATGTCTGACTACATGACATACTGCACGGATACTGCTGCCAAAGATGGCTTTTGGCGTCAATGAGCTTTTTACTTCTAGTGATTGCATTTATGCTTTAAAATCATACAATTTGTGTTAATTTATTGAGATTATCTTGCTGAACAAACTTATGTTTGCTTATTTAATGCAAAAATTCAAGATCCATTGAAAAAATACCATTAGTGTGATGTCAAGGGAATCAAAAATCTAGGTTGGCCTACAAATAAACATCATTCCTACAGCCTGCAGCACTGTATGTCAGTGTTAAGGCAGCAAATTAAACCAGAGATTTCAGTAGTTCTATAAACCAAGGCCTTAACCATGGAGTCAAGTCCCTGAATTCCTTTATTTATTATTAAATCAGTCATTCATTCATTCATTTCTGCTTATCCTCTTGAGGGTCACGGGGGTGTTGGAGCCTATCCCAGCTGACACTGGGCAAGAGGCAGCTTACACCCTGGACAGGTCAGCAGACTATCACAGGGATGACACATAGAGACAGACAACCATTCACACTCACATTCACACCTACGGACAATTTAGAGTCACCAGTTAACCTACATGTCTTTGGACTGTGGGAGGAAGCCGGAGTACCCGGCACGGGGAGAACATGAAAACAAAGGCCCAGGTTCGAACCAGGAACCCTCTTGCTGTGAATCGACATTGCTAACCATTACAACACCATGCCGCCCTACTGAATCATTATATTATATTATTTTTCCTGAGAAAGTAAAGCTATACAAATATGACGGAAATTAATGAAAGCTACTTTTGTTGATAAATTACACATGCAACGCATCTGAAATGACTATCATCTTAACACTAATATTCCATTTTAGTTTTGGACTTTTTAATACATTTCACTGTAATGAAATAAAGATACACTACAGTGCTTGATATTGATTGTATCTACCCACAGCAGGTTGAGTACCGGCTTCTGCTGGGGTACAGCACAGCACCATTTGAACAAACCACACAAACTGCAGTACACCATAATGTAATAATAATGGCAATTTGTTTTGTTTATTTATCATTATGATAACGTTTGTTAATGATTATTTTAGATGGCAATGCTGGTTGCCTATAGTTGCATAGCTTTTTTATTGGCCCCCCTTGATATATATTACTATCATTATTGCCCTGCTATAAACAAATTCAAATGTGTGTCTCTTCGCAACTGTTGCCAGGTAAAATCCTAAAAAGCGCTCACAACCTCATAATATTCTGCATGATTTATTTTTATGGCATATATTTATTCAAACAGTAACCACTTCATTTTGCTGTTATGTCTGAACTGGTGAGAGGTTTATTAACAAATCCTAACCTAACCTAACCTAACCTTTATTGGGGGGGTCTGGGGGGGTCAGAAAACCAGTCAGTATCTGGTGTGACCACCATTTGCCTCACGCAGTGCAACATATCTTCTTCACATAGAGTTGATCAGGTTGTTGATTGTGGCCTGTAGAATGTTGGTCCACTCCTCTTTAATGGCTGTGCGAAGTTGCTGGATATTGGCAGGAACTGGAACATGCTGTCGTATACGCCGATCCAGAGCATCCCAAACATGCTCAATGGGTGACACGTCCGGTGAGTATGCTGGCCATGCAAGAACTGGGATGTTTTCAGCCTTCAGGAATTGTGTACAGATCCTTGCAACATGGGGCCGTGCATTATCATGCTGCAACATGAGGTGATGGCCGTGGATGAGTGGCACAACAATGGGCCTCAGGATCTCGTCACGGTATCTCTGTGCATTCAAAATGCCATCAATAAAATGCACCTGTGTTCGTTGTCCATAACATACGCCTGCCCATACCATAACCCCACCGCCACCATAGGCCACTCGATCCACAACGTTGACATCAGCAAACCGCTCACCCACACAACGCCACACATGCTGTCTGCCATCTGCCCTGAACAGTGAAAACCGTGATTCATCCGTGAAGAGAACACCTCTCCAACATGCCAGACGCAATCGAATGTGAGCATTTGCCCACTCAAGTCGGTTACGACGACGAACTGCAGTCAGGTCGAGACCCTGATGAGGACGACGAGCATGCAGATGAGCTTCCCTGAGATGGTTTCTGACAGTTTGTGCAGAAATTCTTTGGTTATGCAAACCGATTGTTGCAGCAGCTGTCCGGGTGGCTGGTCTCAGACGATCTTGGAGGTGAACATGCTGAATGTGGAGGTCCTGGGCCGGTGTGGGTACACTTGGTCTGCGGTTGTGAGGCCGGTTGGATGTACTGCCAAATTGTCTGAAACGCCTTTGGAGACGGCTTATGGTAGAGAAATGAACATTCAATTCACGGGCAACAGCTCTGGTGGACATTCCTGCAGTCAGCATGCCAATTGCACGCTCCCTCAAAACTTGCGACATCTGTGGCGTTGTGCTGTGTGATAAAACTGAACATTTTAGAGTGGCCTTTTATTGTGGCCAGCCTAAGGCACACCTGTGCAATATTCATGCTGTCTAATCAGCATCTTGATATGCCACACCTGTGAGGTGGGATAGATTATCTCGGCAAAGGAGAAGTGCTCACTAACACATAACACAGATTTTAGACAAATTTGTGAACAATATTTGTGAGAAATGTTCTTTTGTGTGTATAGAAAATGTTTTAGATCTTTGAGTTCAGCTCAAGAAAAATGGGAGCAAAAACAAAAGTGTTGCGTTTATATTTTTGTTCAGTGTAACTCAGCAAGAAAGTGAGTAAGGGCATTTCCCAAAAACACCATTACTTTAATGTACAACGTAAACCTACATGTGAAAACATGACACAGCATAATTCTAATCTCTCAATAGTATGAAAAGCAAGCAACAATCACTGTCTTCTCCAAAATCACATTATTTTACATTATTTTGTGCGCTTCTGTCATTGTACAGGGTATTAGGAAGAAAAATGACATAAGCATAACATACAAACAATAAAACAAGTCTGTATTTATTTTCTATGAAATATTTTGCTATGAAATATAAGGAAAAGCTATCTAAAACTTAATTTTGTTACTCATTTCTACTTTGGCAGAGATAGTGTCCACTGCATCATCTCTGTCGTTCTGCTTGCAGCATTTGTTCTGAATGAATCTGAAGAGGGCGAATCCTGGGACGGATAAACTGGGAATTCCAGCCAGGATGACGATGATGACATAGATCCAGGAAGGATACGGACGCGGCTCGAGGGTGGGAAAGTTCTCCTACGGTCAGAGTCGAAGACATGTTAAAATTTATAGCAACATACGACATACAAGAGGTCTGGAATGCTTAAGACAACACATTTAAAAGGTCTTTAGGCTTAAACTACTGTGATAAGAACACTTACCGCCTCCAGGTCCCACACCAAGTAGGTGAGATTCTTGGTAACTTGGGTTACAAAGTAGAAAACCAGGATGACGATCATAATGAGTGGACTGATCAGTCTCCATGTCAGCTGCCAGAAGATGTTGGGCTTGTGACCAATCATAAACTCAATGTCCTTGTTAAACCTGTTTGAGAACAATAAGAGGAAGACGTAATGTCAGCTGAGTAAATGGTAAATGGACCTGCATTTGTATAGCGCCTTTCTAGTCATCTAGTGACCACTCAAAGCGCTTTTTTACACTACGAGTCACATTCACCCATTCACACACACATTCATACACTGGTGGCCGAGGCTACCATACAAGGTGCCACCTGCTACTCAGTTTAAACACACTCACACACCGATGGAACAGCCATCGGGAGCAATTTGGGGTTCAGTATCTTGCTCAAGGATACTTCAACATGCAGCCTGGAGGAGCCCAGGATCGAACTGCTGATCTTTCGATTGGTGGACGATTGCTCTACCTCTGAGCCACAGCCTCCCAGTGTGGATGAAAGCGTTAAAGACAGGAACTGGAATGAATTGTTTAAAAGATAGCCTATTAAATTGTTTTAACTCGCCATGGGATTTAATTGTGGTACTTGGGATTTTATGAAGGCATTAGTTGCTGCAACTGTCCCCAACTGTACAAATCATATTCAAATAGTTCAGGAGGTTTTTGTCATCAAAACCTAAAATTGTTTCAATTGCCCTCAGTCTCCCCTACAGTAAATAAAGTAGCCACGTGCAACGTGTTGAAGCTGCACAAGGGAATAAACTCCACTATATTACTTGAGTGACCTTGTGTCCTAAAATAGCATCAAGACTGGAAGTGCGGCTTAACGCAATGTTTTGTACATTTGAAACATTTTATCACTTTTAGATTACATTTTACTGCTTTTATCAACAGTATTACTGAAACCGAACAGACAGCATATTTTCCGCATTTCTCACCACAGTTTTGCTACGTCACGAGACACGCTGTACCTCGTTATCTCTCCTCGGTGAATGACACATTATCTCTGTTCTGAGGTTAGATTAAAATGCTCTCTTATTGCCTTCTTTGTCTCAGTTGCATAAAGACCTGCCTCGTTGAGTATCACACCCACTAATATCTGGCTTTTGTCTTCGGTGGTAAAGGTTACAATAGGCATTTTTTTCACAGGGCAATTGACTCTGCAGTAGCCACAGGTATTTATCAGCTCCAGCTCCAGTCAGCAGTGATAGAAGCATGACACCCACATGTACACACTCATTTTGCCCCTTTTGTAGAAGTGTTGCCACAAATGTCATCTGTCTCTATCCAAGCAGTGCTAAAACATTGTTACAAATTAGTCAGCACCTAGTTTTAAAGAGAGACAGAGACACTGCTGTTTTCAGCCTATCTGGTGCTTGCATGGCGACAAATGAGACACACCGGAAAAGACACAGAAAGACATACTCAACTACTGCAGAGCTGTGTATTGCCTATTTTTAGAAGGTTTTCCAGCGTTTAAAAAAATCTGCATATATGTCCTTACACTGGTTGAAATAGCTGCACGTGGCATGGCATATTGGGTCACCATGCCCTGCTGTCTCGCTTTCCCTTGATTTGTCATGACACTGTGTGAGCTCCATGCCTGGGAGGTTACACAGTGACGGGGCTGACTGGTAGCATCACATGGCTAATGTTAACGACAGAGTCAAGCCGTTTTAGTGTCGGCAGCAGCACACTCCGCTGTCTCGTCATTTCCCCAGTAGCGTCAGTATATTATATTTATGTATTTTTAATTGTTCAACTGATATTCTTATTGTCGGTTAATGTTTTAATGGTATTATGAACATCCCTAGTATGAATAATCACTTCCTTGATAGACTTACCTATCCATGCCATAGATGTAAATAACAGCGATCATTTCACTCAATCCGATGACCAATAGGGGGATAGAACCAGCAAAGTTGTCAAAAAGAGCGAGCCAATAGTTTCCAGAGCGCTGAGTAAAGATAAGCCCGAGAGCGAAAGAGACTAAGCAAGTCAGACCTAAAAAAAAAAATTAAAAAACACACAAAATGGAGTTATATCTTTAGATCAAATGTTTAAATCCCAACATGACAAAAAGTATTTTGTATTTAATAGGAAATTTGGAAATTTACCACAGAAAACTTCTTTGGGCCATGTTTTGGGCAGCAAGTTGAGGTCCTGCAAAGGAACCACCACTCCCTCTATGTTCCCAAACATAGTTGAGAGGCCGAGGCAGAAGAGCATGATGAAGAAAAGGACGGCCCACAAAGGAGAAAAGGGCATTTTGATGATGGCCTCTGTGAACACGATGAAGGCTAGACCTGTTCCTTCAACGCCCTGTAGGAGAGCACCAAATATTTCAACCACCGACACTCTGCTGAATAATTTCAGTGAGATTAAAAACAGATATTCTAAAGGTTATCTACTGACCTGTTTGAGGAAAACCTGCATGTCACAGGCCTCCAATTGTAATCCTTGAATGACAGCTGGATTTGTCTGGTTGAGGTGGGTCAGAACCTCATCGTAGTTGCTTTCTGTGATGCTGTCTTCAGGATAGTTAAAGGCATTCATCAGCATCAAGATGTTGCTAAAAAAAGAGTTAAGTTCACATAAGCAAATCCTTATTACGTCTTTGTAGGGCTTCCTTTGTCAAATACAAAACTCACTCTGCTGTGCAGTCGTCATATTTTTGCGTGGCCCTGAAGCCAATGATGGAGTAGATAACAGTCGCAGAGTACACTGAGGTGCAGCCATTGATGATGGAGATGAGAACAGCGTCCTGCTCACAGTTGTTGCTAAAAGATAAATATGGTCATGTGAACAGAAGTGTTCAAAAGAAGCCTCATTGCATGAATTGGGCAGTTACTCACTGAATAGGGTTGTAACTGGAGAAAGAGATGAGACCTCCAAAGGCCAGAGAGAAGGAGTAGAAAACTTGAGCACCTGCGTCCAGCCAGGTTGATGGATTCATCAGCTCATTCACCTGAATAAGAATAGAAAGCATCACATATAAACAGTACAACTGAGCTAACTGACCTATGGTAATTATTTTCTGTTGTGATGTGTCTGCACTTTGGAACATGATAGTAAACACCTTCTACTGTCCTGGGTATTGTTAACAATTAATAGGTGATAGTAGCTACTGTGCACCAGGACCATAGTTTATTTTATCTCTTTTATTTAATCTCATGTCTGTTCTTTCTTGACATACAATAAAAGCATGACGTGGAAATTCATGACTGAATGTTATGCAAGCTCATAAAAAGAAACTGGATGATAAATCAGTTGCCTCTTTGCATATGTCTGTTTTAAGCTTTTGAACCAAGTCCAGGTCACGCCTTGAGTCAGGACCAAGACTAATGTAATGCTAATATGGAAATTAAAATAGCAAAATGGCCAAAATTACACCAGTTGCTTCTTTTTCACAAGACATTCAGCATCCAGATGCAAGTAATAAATCAAGAAGACTGTATGTGTCAAATAGTTCAGGTAAGCTAAGCTGCTGTTGGCTGTAGCCTCATATTTAGCAGACAATTATAAGCAGTGACGCCCCCAAGGGAGGGCAGGGGGGACCATGGCCCCCTGATACAATTGCTGCCTCCCTAAGTGGCCCCCCTGGCAAAAATAACTGTCTTAAACTGTACGTTCAAACCAGAAGCTTCCAAAGAGGCAAAGTCTCTCGCGGACGCCCAAGAAGCACGACTGTCAAAAATATCTGTGGCAGCTTTGGTCGCTCTAGTCGCTCATCACGTGAATCATTGAACGTTTGATTGTGCTTGTCAATTTAAAGGAGCCACAAACCGGACTACTGGCTTGAAAGCAGCGTAGTTGCTGCTTGCTGTTGTCCAGTCAAAAAGCTTATAGTTGGCCTACAGAAAGTTATGCTTACCCCCCAAAATCGTATTGACTCAACATGGAAGATGATAACGCTGCTGTGATGTGTACTGCTGCCGTCTTGTGCATTCGAAGAAGCTGTCGCCGTCGGGTTTGGGTGCACAAAATCCTCCGGTGCCGTGATCAGCACAATGGATTTTATCGGCTGGTGCAAGAGCAACATTATAAAGGACTGAGTGGGACCGAACACAGGTAATCAACTTCTCGATATCCATTGACGGAACAAGTGTGCTGTAGGAACCAAAGTTACATGGCTTGTTCTCTGGGACCCGCTTCATCGAAGCACGTCAGCATTCCGATTGATTGACACCGAACCGCGTCAGAGCTCATTACCATAAAGTAAAACAAGTTTTAACTCCCCTCCGGACCGCTCTGGTTGCCCAAGACGCACGGCTGACGATCAGGTCGCCCTAGTCGCCCAAGTCGCCAGGCTCTCATTGAAAACTAATGGCTGTTGGTTTGAACATACAGTAAGAGGCTGTGGCATGCTCACCTTTTAAGCTAAAGGCAGTGCTATCTTGTGTAACTAGACAACCTTAGGCATCCATTGGTACCAACCATGACATGCTAGCTTGTCCGAAAGAGGGCTAAAAAAAAGTGCTTCAGACTAAGGTAAAATTCTGGTAAGGTAAAATCTTCACCAGGGCGTGCATGACCCCGAGGTTGTCCTTTGAAAATGTTTAATTTACAGTAGACAGCACTGATGATAGGTGGTCTGTTAAACACAAATCCTTGTCAAATGTATCTTTGATAAATAAATATATGAATCTGTCAATAATTATTATTTTAATAAGATAGTATTGTATCCATCATATAAAAGTACGTTTATACACAGACACATTACACTGAGACATGTTGGTTGGTGTATTACAACAGTGCTTACATCTGGAGTGAAGAGGAACTTGATTCCCTCAACAGATCCTTTCAGAGTCAGTCCTCTGATGAGGAAGATGGTGAGGACCAAGTATGGCAGAGTGGAGGTGATGTACACAGCCTGAGAAAAGAAAACAATGACAGCATAATCCAATGACATATTGTAGCTGTGTTTTTGAATGAACATATATGTGAGCAAGCAGGCATCACTCTCTCATTCAAATTATTCAGATGTGATTTGACTTCCAGACCTTTCCAGTGGTCTCGATGCCCCGGATGCAGCAGACATAGAGCAGAGTCCATGCGCCCAGCAGGACTAGCACCATCCACCACTGAAGACCTCCAGACTCATCGATAGCTGTTGAAGTGTTCAGAGTCTCTCTGTACCAGAAGTAGTCAACAGTGCTGCTCCGAGCACACTCCTCCACCACACCTGCAAAGGACAGATAAGTAGACGGCAAGGGTCAAACTTAGCAACCTTGGAAAGAAGTGTAACCGCAGACTGTAGCCTACAGCAGATGCGAGTTCTTTGGATTCTTTCTTACTGTTGTCTGGATGTTTAACGGCTTACCTGTCCCGTTAGCATTGAGAGGACATTGGCTCCAAGGCAGAGGATCTTGAAAGGAGTTGAAAAGATACCACATGATCCAGGCCATGATGGTGTTGTAGTACATCCCCACCAGAAATGAAGCAAGCATGGATGCTACACCTGTAAAAAATGAAAAAACCAGGTGTGGTGACGCTTTGTGTTTTTTTTTAACAATACCAACCAGGGATCCCCATTGTCAGTAGCTGAGTGTACAGCGCTAACCTGCATTCACCAAGCTGAGTAACAGCATAAAATGTACTGAACCACAATTTTTCTTTTCCAGCCTCCTGTAACAAGTAGGGGAATCTGTCTGTAGTAAAAGCTAACAGCTAGCAGACAGACTAGGAGCCTTGATCAATCAATGTAGATTTGCTTAATACCTTTAAAGCATATAATCAACAGTGTGTGATTTGTGTGGTTTAACAGCTGCCAGGGCAGATTGTGCTTCACTTAAGTGACAAAGATAGACTTGAAGCATAAAAAAATGTGGATCAGTGTGGACTGAGACATTATTTTTTTAATAGAAGTGCACCTGTTCTGTGAGATGCACGAGTGATGGACGTCAAAAACAGTCTTTACAGCTTTCAGTGTGTATTGGCCATAAGAGTCTAGAAGCTGTGTGAGGCTCTGCTTTGAGTTTAATGCTAACATAAGCATGCTAACATGTTCACAATGGCAGTGCTGACATGCTGATGTTAAGCGATGTTTTCCATGAACTACGTATGAGTATCAGACCAGGTGAAATGTAGATGAAGACTGGGTAAAAAGCTAAGGGATCACCAAAGTAGTTACAATGTATCCTGTGTGGGACATGTATTTCTGTGCAAAAGTTCATAGCAATCCATGTAAATGAATGAAATGACATTTCACATTAAATTACAAACGCAAATGCCATGGTGGTGCAGTGGGATTCATCCCCTGGTGACCATGAATGCCTGTATAAAATTTAGTGCTAAACCAGCACCACAGAAGTAAAGAATTCCAGTATGTTATTTCCACGGCCAAGGAAGGTTCATCGATAATTGGAAACATGAGCTGCTGTCTCTCAAAGCCAGAAACTTGTCTGGTGCTGCTCCATAGGTAATGAATGCTATTATGGTGTTCTCACTGACATAGTTTTGAACTGTCTTAGACCATAGGAATAACATGTTTGAAATTTGAACACAGGCACAGTTTAAATATTTGTTCCATTGACATTTCTGAAGTCTTGCCACTGGCACGGCCATGAAGAAGAAAATAGACAACCTAATTTGCTTTTTTTTTTTTTTTACCCACCGACTCCAATCAGGTATGGACTGATTGATCTCCACACTCCTACGCTGCCTTTCCTCAGGCGTTGACCGATAGCAAACTCCAGGTGCAGCAGTGGGATTCCCTCCAGTACCAGCAGGATAAGGAATGGGATCATGAATGCTCCTAAAACAGTCACAATGTCATAATGAGTCAATAATACGTCTAGCCATTCACTTTAATGAGCACTTCAAGTAAGGTAAGTACATTCAGCAGTAAACTTTATTCACAAATCTGTTGCCATAAAGAAGCCCATAAGCTATAAAAAGCATTGTACACATTTTATTGCCTACACTTTGTATTACATAAAGCATGAATGAGACTCATCCATTGACTTTTACACAGTGATAACGATTATGAATGTAAAGGAAAAGTAAGCTTCAATGGTTCTATATGAATCAAACTGTCAGGTGATGTTAAGTTAGTAGGCTATTTTTAAGCATTGATTGGTTGAGTTTTAACTTTTAAGATCTCAGTCTGAGTAAAGTAGGCATTTCTATTATTTCTAAGCTCGTAAGAGAGCAAAATTCAGCTGACTGTGTGTACAATTCTGTATCTCTGCAGTCTGTAAACATCTTACACACCTTTAAACACACAAATTAGTTACATGTAACAGGTTGAGAGACATTTAGATCATTTTAATAATTCATATAAACTGCTTATGTTCCCTCATTGCAGCCTACCTCCTCCGTGGCTTTGACACAGGTAAGGGAACCTCCAGACGTTGCCAAGTCCCACACAGAAGCCCACACAGGTGAGCAGATACTGGGCTTTGTTGTCCCATTTGGGTCTGTCCCCTGCCTCCTCCTTCTCCATCTTCTCCAGGTCCCCATGAGAGGGGATCCGCTCATCCAGTCCTGGGTTTGGAAACTTCAGCTTCATGGTGGCTTCTTGTTAACTTCACTGGACTCAGAAAGCGTGAAATGTAGCAGTTAAGTCTCCCTTTGGTATTCAGTTAATGGTTCTGCTACTTTCCTGCGAGCCTTCAAGGGGCTGCGTCCTTTCTCGTACAATCTGGAAACTGTAAAACTGTAACTGTAACTTGGACTGTGTCTCGTTGAGTCCTTTACCCCAACTGTGTGTCCTGGGAAGGAGTACGAAGGTATCCACTGTGACCTATGGCACCTGGGCCGCAGTTATCAGTAGCTCCTCACAGTTGGTTTTGCATTATGTGATGTCAGCAAGGTTAAGTAAAAAAAGGTGCAACCTTCTTGATAATGGTTAATGCATCACATGAGGTGCCGCCGCAAACACTTTTCTCTGAGAGATGAGTTTGTGCAGGAAATGGAGAGTTGTACTGGTTGTTTATTTACTGTCATTCCTTTAAAGGCCACAAGGTTTCATTGATGGCCAACAAGCAGATCCAACATAGAGTGTGTTGCAAGATGTACATTTTCTTTATCTCACCTTGTATGACAGAAAGAAAGAAACATTGTAAAGTAAGAGGTAACACATTTCCCATCATAGCTTATCTTGTCAGGTCAGGCCTTTCCCAGTCCTGGAGATATTAGACTATGTATTGCAGTGGGATCTACAACCCAGTATTAGTGTGTACAGGTGCATTTTCTCTCAGATTTGAAATTCAAATGCTGAATGCTTATGTTAATTACTTAGTGAAATGTTACAGAGTAGAAGAAGGGATTTTTCTCTTCATATTTTTATCACTTTTTTCTACAGTATAGCTGTTAAGCAATTCAGAGTGCATATATACCTTATCAGTGTTCCTTTCTAATGCAATTAGTAACCAATGAAAGACTAACGCAGGCATTTACAGAGTGGTGTTTACTGACTTGTCATCTATAGCGGCTATCAAGGGTTATTTTTAGGATGTCCATAAAGATATCAGTGTATGTACATGTTATGTGCGTCAGTCCAAATTACATCTACCTTTGCCTCTACCCAAATTACACGTTTGTATACGTCCATTCATTTAGAAACACATACTTATATACCAGATGGTTGCAGGGGCTTGGAGCTAATCCCAACTGGTATTGAATGAAAAACAGGATACACCTTGGGCTGTGTTTACATTACAAGTAAATGTGGCCTAAATCTGATTTATTTTTATTTTTATTTTTTTTGCACTGTCCTAAATCCGATACATATCCGATCCCTGGCCATGTCAAATTCTCATGTTTCATGTCTTGTGTTTCCTGTTTTATTTTGAAACTCACGTCCTGTCTCATTTCAGGTCTCTTCACTTCCTGCTCCCCTGTGTTTCCCGCCTGTTTGATTACCTGCACCTGTCCTAATGTGGCACACCTGTGTCTCGTTGTCTCCTCTATTTAGTTTCTGGGTTTCCCTTTGTCTGTGCCAGTTCGTCTTGTACTTTGAGTCAGCGCTCCAGCTGTTTATTTGTTAGTTTGTTTGCCTTGTGATATTGACCCTCTTTTTGGATTTCTGGATTTTGTCTTTGCCTGTCATTTTTGGATACCTTTGCATGACTGACATCTGTGTACTGAACCTACCCTGAAATTAAAGGACCTTGTTTTGAACTTTATTTCGTCCCTGAATCTACATTTGTGTCTCTTTTGGTTCAGTGTGATAGGGAGTGCGACCACTGTAAAAATGGTTACATCAGAATTCATGTGTTTTTCCCATACATCCATGGTACACGTCATACTGACCTCTGCAGCAAATCATTCAGATGAACACTTGCACCGCTTTGTCATTCATTTTTCTCACTAAATATACCTGTCTTGCAAATGCAACTTGTTTTGTTGTTCTAATGCACATGTATGTGACGTCACTGGTTGCATGCAAGGTGCTTCAGGGTAGAGATCTGTTCACACTGATGTCAGACATGCGTCACTTTAAACATGAATGTGAACAGTCCAGGCTAGATCAGATCTGGGGGGGAAACCGTAATGTGAAAATAGACATGGATGGGTCTGTCAGTCAGTCATAGGCTGACACATTGTGACTTTAAGTCTCTTAGACAGACTGTAAAAATAATGGATGTAGCTGTCGTGACGTCACCTGTTGGTTTGTGTTGAAACCCATTTTGTGTACTGTGTACCCGTCGTACACTGAAAGCCTGTTAACTTTCTCCTTTGTGTGCTAGTTTAACGGTTTGTCAGCGAAAGACAGAAACTGGCTTAGTGGCATTGTCAAGATTTGTTCTAAAATTATCGGAGTGCAGTTGACTGATTTAAACACTCTGTGGGAGAGACGGGTCCTCCAGAAAGCAAAAAGTATCATCAACAGCGATCATGCTCTGTCCAAAGAATTCACACTTACGACATCAGGACGGCGTTATCTGCCCCCACCCAGGAAGACAAACTGTCACTCTCGGTCATTCATTCACTCTGCCATTAAGCTGCTGAATGCAGAGTAAGTTTTTCTTTCTTTGTATTTATTTATATATCTTATGTGCAATATACTTTGGCACTTTACTCTTTTTAAGAGCAACATATCGGTGCAGTATACTCATGCACTTACTACACTTCTCTAGCTGTTTTTATTCCTTTTAATTCTGGTTTGTGTTTCTTGTTTTACTTGTTGCATAACTCCAACTCCACGTGTCACTTATTGCGCTCCTCTGTTACTGATGTGTGGGAAGTATGTTTGCTCATGTGAAGTGGGTGACTGTAGAAACTGAATTGCCCTTCGGGGATAAATAAAGCTTTCTCTGACTCTGACTCTAGTTTGTGAACTGCCATTCTGAAGCCTCAAGTTTGGATTTGTTCAGCACTGATGACAGTTTGAAGCTTTATATTACAAAGTGATTTCATCCCAGACTGTGGCTGCATCAATACATCCCCTAAAACTAAAATATTCCTTTCCCTGACTAATGCTAAAGTAAGAGTGAAATTGTGTGATGTAAACATAATAGTACAAAGCAAAAAGTACCAAAAGTACCATTTTGTTTGTGTTGATCATAATTCAAGTCAAAGGAAATGAAATGCAAATGAAGTCAATGTCAGTGTAGAATATTTCACACCATTTATTGTGCTTTTCACTGATAATGCATTTATAACAATCCTTATAAATATCTACATTGATTCCTCATCCTTTTATCAACACACTGTCAACACAATAAAGATATCTCAGCACACATATATCTTAAAATTAAATCACTTCAACAAACCAAATTTCAACAAAGTAAAGCAAACCAAACCCTAAAAACAATCCTTATTGCACAGGCCTCTTTTTGAAAAAACATGGGATCACATCTGTCAAGCAACAGTGTAATGTTCTTGTCAATCTTTCTTGCAGCAGCGTCGGAATAATTTGTACAAAGCAGATGCAGGGATCAAAAGACTGGGAACTCCAGCAAGAAGGAAGATGATAGCATAGACCCAGCTGGGATACGGTATTGCCTCCAACACTGGGAAGTTTTCCTGTACACATGACAAGGAAATTATTTAAAAACTATACTTTTTTTGAAAATATGCAACACATTCTCACTACCAACTTGTCAAATACAGACACTTGGTCAGTGGCCCTATATGTCAAACTAAGTACCAGCGTTGTAGTACTCGAGACTGGTCTTGTCTTGGACTCAGACAAAGAAGACTCAGGATTTTATTTCAAGAACACCACAACTGTGTTAAAGGGATAGTGCACCCAAAAATGAAAATTCAGCCATTATCTACTCACCCATATGCTGATGGAGGCTCAGGTGAAGTTTTAGAGTCCTCATAACACTTGTGGAGATCCCAGGGGAGAGGGGGTAGCAACACAACTCCACCTAATGGAGGCTAAAGGCGCCCCAGATTCAAACATCCAAAAACACATAACTGAAACCACAAAATATCTCCATACTGCTCGTCCGTAGTGATCCAAGTGTCCTGAAGCCCCGACATAAAAAGTTGTTTGGAAAAACGTCATTTGAACTCTGTTTTTAGCCTCATTGTAGCCTGTAGCTCTAACTGCCTCTCTGTGCACTGCGCGTGAGATAGTGAAATAATGTGAAATATGGGCACCACGTTCATGTGTGTTCACGTGCTTTCGCTGGTGTGGCACACAAGCACACACGTGAGCGCGGTGCACAGAGAGGCAGTTAGAGCTACAGGCTACAATGAGGCTAAAAACAGAGTTGTGTTTTTAGATGTTTGAATCTGGGGTGCCGTAAGCCTCCATTAAGTGGAGCTGTGTTGCTACCCCCTCTCCCCTTGGATCTCTGGAAGTGATGTGAGGACCCTTGGCATATGGGTGAGTAGATAATGGCTGAATTTTCATTTTTGGGTGCACTATCCCTTTAAGCAAACAGGGTTAAATAAAGATGGTTAAGTTCATTTCAGCTCCCTTTTTGTTTATTTGTTTGGATTTTTTTGGTTATAGAAACAAAGTAAAATACCCACATACAAATTTCACGTCTGCAATGCCTTCTGCCACAGTTCCCAGCATGCTGGACTGAGTACTTTGTTGTTACTGTTGAGCTGTTTTCTGTTCCATAACACAAATGTCATCTTTTCGTTACTGTCTTTGGTTTGCTTGCTTAGAAAATGATGGTCTATGCTATTCATTTGTGTGTTAATTCATAGTTTGCACCATTAGTGAGTTGGCTATCCCACTTCATGACACCAGCTGTATTGTTTTGTCTTTCTGAAATGCAAGAGTGTTATTCATTATCTACATGTCAATAAAGGCTGACATTGTTCAACTCCAATAAATCCTCTGTGAAACAGGAAATGTCACATTACATACATATGCTGTGTGGCAACAAAACTGGTGTCCAAAAACCAGTCTTTGTTTTCTATGGGTGTTTATACTTTCAGATAAGTATCAGTAGTGCCTCTAATTTGCATGTTCCACATTTGATATTAAGTGTGTCTTGCAGTGTGTGACTTGCACTTGTCTGGTCTTGTCTTGGTCTCAACACACTCCGGTCTTGGTCATGACTCGGTCTCGGTTTAGGTGGTCTTGACTACAACTTTGCAAAATACCGTTTCAGTGTTCATTTTGGATGCTCATGGAAGGGATGTCAATTTATGTTCATTACGTGGATTGTGTCCTTTCACAATAAACTTCCATTTTCACAGGAAATGTAAAGTTTTAGCTCATTAAATGCATACATTAAATGTATAACATAGGTAAAAAAGACTTTGATCTTAGGCTTACTTCCTTAAGTTTAGGCAACAGAAGCCTGTGGTTAGATTCAGAAAAACAACAGGGTCCATATTCACAAATGTTCCTAGTGCTAAGTTGCTCCTGGCAACAAAATTCTAAGAAAATTCTTGTGACATTTTGTTAGAATTTCCCCTGAATGTTAAGACTGGTTCCTTGTAAAGACAGAAGTTATTCACAAAGCATCTTAGACCTTAACAGAGCTCCTAAGGTGAAAAACTGTTAGGAGCAGGGAGGACTTTTAAAAGGCTTAAGAGTTTCTTAAGCAGAGGAGAAAATTAAAGAAACACAAAGAGGTCGGAGAAATGGTCTCTAAACACAAAATGACCGTGAGTAAATGAAATGCTACAGATGAGAATATGCAGGGACAATATTTGTGGTTGATCTCATTTGGGATATGCACACGTTTCCCACCTAACAAAATAATGCTATAATGCCAGAAATAAAATTATCACAATACTAAGATATCTGAGAAACTGGAAAAATGCAACAGTGAAGCAGAGATGACTTGAGTCTGTCTCAATCTTCCCTCTGCAGAGTGATCACATTAACAATGACAACACTGTCAATCTCATAGTGTGATGCAGTTCATTTCATTTCCACTAGGTGTCCACACATTGCAGGCTCACAAAAGGGTGTGTCTGTGACAACCAATCACATCTCTTAAAAGAAAGCATCACACCTAGCAACAGGGTCAACCACACTCCCGCACTAAGATAAAAGTTTCTGTCTCCTCCTTGCTCAGAGTTGCCCTTAGAACTTTCCTAACTCACTCCTAAGCTAAGACTCCTTACTAAAGGTTTTTAGGCTAAGTTAGGAGCTCTCTTTGAGTACTCTCAGAATATTTGTGAATACAGCCCCAGGGATTGACTTAAGATAAGTACATTTGTTACTAACTTAACATAACGTCATGTGACATATATCACTAGTGTTGTATGCTACACTTAGCACACACATATATGTAGCACATACAGTTATTAAAATAACTCAGTTGACCTTTGGCTTCAAATGGGAATGAATAGCGGGCTCCTGTCCATTATCTGACCCATACACCTGCCCTCCCATCCTTGCTCACAGACTTTCTTGCTCTTCATAATACAGCAGTTGCTCAGAGCATCAGAATATGCCACCACCCAGTGTGTCTCATGCACTGCCACTAAAGGGTGCCTCAGTTAGTTGGTATGCAATGCCAAGGGTCAATGACCAAGCATCAGTGTTTGACGAGTTGGGAGTGAGCGTGGGTTGAAATGTGATTATTTAGAGAAATGTAGCAAACAGGAGTTGTGAAACATACCGAGCTTGGATTCCAGGTGATGTATGTCAGCTCGGCACTGACTTTGGTGGCAAAGTAAAACACAAAGATGACAAAGACAATCAAAGGGCTGACCACTCTCCATGTGGCCTGCCAGAAGATGTTGGGTTTGTGTCCAATCATGAACTCAACATCTCTGTTAAACCTGTGAAAGAAAGGAGATCTGACTCAAGAGGTATAATCAACATGGCACACGTTTGCATACACCCTAAAAACACAAAACGCTGTGACTAAATGTTGATGCCAAGGATTCATTACGGCAAAACAGGCTTAGCAATCTCCTGTTACTTTACCACTTACCTATCCATTCCATACAGGTAGGCTACAGCCATCATCTCACAGAAGGCAATAATGAGCAGAGGGACAGAGCCTGCATAGCCATCAAAGAGTGCTAACCAGTAACTCCCAGACCGCAGAGTAAAGATGAGCGCAATCAAGAAGGCAGTGAGGCATACGATTCCTAAAATCCCAAGCAACACAAAATAAAGTTCTTAACCCTTATGCCACTGTAGAAATGTATGTACTGTCCGCACACATGGGTCTATAGGATCAATTACCTGTGAGCGCCTCTTTAGGAAACTTCTTAGGAAAGACATTTAAGTCCTGCAGGGGAACCACAGTTCCCTCTATAGCTCCAAACATGGTGGAGAGGCCGAGACAGAAAAGCATGATGAAAAAGAGGACAGACCAGAGGGGAGAAAGAGGCATCTTTGTGATGGCCTCTGTGAACACAATAAAAGCCAGACCTGTTCCCTCCACTCCCTGGAAAACAAGCATACAATCAACCGCAACATTCAGTGGACTTGTTAAATAAGAGAGGAGTAAAATCATCATGATGGCTCCAAAAAAACATACATCACTTAGAAAAGTCTGCAGGCTGCAGGTGTTGAGGTCCAGCCCCTGAATGACCTCTAACCCTGATATCGTGCTGTTGAGCTTTCGCAGCATTTCATCATAGTTGCTGTGTGTGATGGACCCCTCAGACAGATCGAATACATTCAGCAGCATCAAAATGTTTCTGAAAGAGGACATTTAGGAACAAGAGTGATGAAAATGTGTTCTTTACTTTTGCCTTGGTTAAATCAAATAAATTGGACATACTGTTTTGTGCATATACTCATTAAGGCAGGCATCAAACTGCTCTGTTGCCCGGAAGCCAATGATGGAGTAGATGACAGTGGCAGCAAAGATAGAAGTACAGCCATTAATAATGGAGATGATAACAGCATCTTGTTCACAATTGTTGCTAGAAAAAAAGTGAAAAAAAAAAAAAAAAAAAAAAATTATTGTGCATTTAATTTGATTAAATATTACCTGAAATATATACCTCACTGCACTTTGCTCGAATGCCATGTTGACTACTGTGCTTACTGAACAGGGTTGTAGCTGGAGAAAGAGATGAGACCTCCAAAGGCCAGGGAGAATGAATAAAACACTTGGGCTCCTGCATCCAACCACGTTGCTGGGTTCACCAACTCATCTAGCTAGAAATCAATACATCATCAGCAGAGTGTTGCATCTGCCATGCTAATGACGTGGACAAAGTATTTAAATGATAACTAACATCTGGTGTGAAGAGGAACTTGATTCCATCTACGGATCCTTTCAGAGTCAGTCCTCTGATGAGGAAGATGGTGAGGACGAGGTATGGCAGAGTGGAGGTGATGTACACAGCCTGAGAGAGAGGAAAGAGAAAACTTAGAGGAGCAATTTGTACCATTCTAAAAACATATTATGTTATCTGATGATCAGGACTGAACTTGACTTTGACTTGGTATTCATGACTTTGACTTCACTTAGACTTAAGACAGATGGCTCAAAGGGACTTGACATTTTTATAAAATATTTGCATATTTGCACTGAGAGGTTACGTTGACAGGACCCAGACATCAAACCTTAATCTGTCGCTGCAAACCCCAAAAAAAGGTCTGTGAATGGCATTAGCTTATAGGCAGATCATCAGAATTTCATATGACTTGACTTGGTATAGCAAGGACTCAGCTTGACTTGCTTTATTCTTACCTCCGTAACTCAGAGCTTGCATGAGAATTTGCAGGTTAAGGCTTGAGACTTGCTTGTGACTTATTACTTGTGTTACCAACTGCTCCAAAGTTCACTTATTAACACATATCTTGTTTGCTAAATTTAGCAAAAGAAAATCTGAAATGACCTTAGACCTTTAAAGAGACTGCACATCCACACAGTAGTCCTCTGCTCACGTTGAATTTTGGACAAAATTAGTGCTGCATTTACAGTCAGTTTAATTAGTCAATCAAAATGGGCTACTTTTGCTTTGTCACCTATTCTGAGTGCTTTATTAACAAGTAAAATTAGATACAAAGAAAGAAACTATAGTTCACAAAAGACTGCACATTAATGTCATAGACTACCTACTTTGCCTGTGGTCTCAATGCCTCTTATGCAGCAAATATAGAGCACAATCCAGGCAGCAGCCAAACACAGCACCATCCGCCACTGCAGACCTCCAGTGTCTTCAATAGCCTCTGAGGTGTTCAGTGTTTCTCTGTACCAGAAGTAGTCCACTGGAGAGCTGCGTTTGCACTCTGATACCAGATCTACATGTAAAGAAAAGTGGAAAATCAAATTGTTCAAATGGATTTAAAATGTCAGACTGGAACTGATTTTTTTCTGGAATAGTGACATGCCTGTGAGATTAGCATTGAGAGGACAGTGGCTCCATGGCAGTGGACTCTGGAAGGAGTTGAAGAAGTACCACATCACCCAGGCGATGATGGTGTTGTAGTACATGCCCACTAAGAATGAGACAGACATGGACGCAATACCTGCAACAGAGGGGGAAAAGAGACAGCGCAACATTTTGCACCGTAGATATATTACATAAAATCTTCCAATGTAGTGCAGGTATTAATGAACCTCGACAGTAGTGCAAAGCATCGGCCTGTTCTCATGAACTGTTCGTACATATAGCCTACCTATGAAAAGTAAGACACCACAATTTGTATGTAGCCCACATAATCTTGAGCCAGCAATTCATGGTTAATCCATGTAATCAGATTGGCTGTAATCATATGACTAATGTGCTGACGGGAGTAAAGAAGGAAGTGGTATAAAGACTGAAAGTTTGTGTCAAACAACACAGGACTTTGCCCCAGGAAACCAGTGTCTGGAACTGTGTGAAACCAAGTGACCTTTGAGTTATTTTAAGGTACGTCATCACCACGTTTCCTTCCCTAAACTTAACCTACATATTTTTTCTTGCCTGAATCTAAAGACGCCCAATCATGTTTCTTTTCCGAATCCTAACCAAAGAAACTTTGCTTACCTGTTCTTAACCTATGTACTTTTAGATACATAACTTTACATTAAATATATGACGCCATTTGTGGTGTAGTAATTTGTTAGCTATCATATGAGCTATATGATGCCATACAAAGTTTTGTATGAGGATACGTTCAAAGTATGCATATGTGGGATTCAAACCACAACCATAATGACTAAAGCTGACTGAGACAAGTGTATCCAACATCTTAACTCAGGACCAGAAAACCAGATTTCAAGCAAGACTAAAAATCACATAGTTATGCACTCACCAACTCCAGTCAAGTAGGGGTGAATTGCAGTCCAAACCCCTACACTGCCCTTTCTAAGGCGTTGGCCAATGGCAAACTCCAGGTACAACAGTGGGATCCCCTCCAAGATGACTAGGATAATAAAAGGGATCATAAAAGCACCTGTGGACACACCAAGGTAAGCTCAGATAACCGGAAAGATAGAAGAGATGTGTATTTAGCATAGAAACACCTTGTTTACTGTAGCCATGTGTGATAGTTGCAACATCCCAACACATAAAAATTATTTATAATATCTGCTTCACAGAAAACTAGAAGTACTTTCGATATTTATATTTTGCTGTCGGCGTGATTCCTTTAATATATCAATGTTTATTGTGCTCCCATTAATTCTATACAGTTTTAATCTCTCAAAATCTCAACATCATGTGAAACAGTTACACATACAATGTAATGGTAACAAACAATAAGGGATTGAAAGGTGCTTTTATTGTTGTCTTTCTCATGCATGATGAGCAGGCTCAGGGCTAAAAGTTCACTTTGCTATCAGGACTTTTCCAGATAGAAGATACTTTCCGAAACTGCTGATATGATAAAGCTCCTAATGATAAATCATTTGTAATTCTTGGGGTAGAGTTGGGCCATTTTATCATTATGTTAAATCCAAGTACAGGTTGTCACTTGAGTCACTAAAGCATTCAGTAGTGAACTACATGTTAAGAAAAATGTTAAGTTAAAAGACTCTCCTGAACGGTAGATCATGCGCTACCTTCAGTGGCACAGAGATAATAAAGGGAATCAGATTTCCTCCTCTGAACGGTTTTCAGCCTATATCAGCAGTGACTAAAGGGTTCACAGGAAGTTCAAGATAAAAAAGAGTTGTTTTTTCCCTCAACCGGCCTAATGTACAATAACCTTTGTATGTTAGCTATTTTGTTATCTTAAAATTGTTTGTGTTGAAGCTTTTTAAGTAGTTTAACCATTATATGTATAAAAGATATATAAAAATACATTGGCTTTGTAGCCAATTTTTGTAGTGGCCAAACAGTGGTACTGCAATGTCACGTGATGCCACTGGGCCCAAAAATACTTTTTCCCATAGACTTACATTGGGAAAGAGACGTCTATAAATTGGTGGATACAACTTCTGTAAAATGATTGGTTGCACAATCATAATTCAATCCATTCGATCATGGATGCTAACTCTATTAACAGTGCTAAACAACTGCAGCAGTGTTGACAGAGCTAATGGTGTTAACTACTGCGACAATGCCATCCCAATATCTGAGGTAACTGCTGCATGAGCGTTCTTTGGTCTTTGGTCCACACTGAAATGCCTCAACAGTTACTGGTTGGGTTGCGATTAAATTATGTACAAATATATTCATGTTCCCTAGAGGATGAAGCCAAGTGATTTGTTGGTTACTGTAACACCTTAACTTAGGTCAAGATTTAAATATATACTTTATGAGTGTCCAAGTAGCCTCACAGAGCTGCTATATGTACTGTACTGGTATCTGTGCTGCTCTGGCTGATCATTCTGAGAGTTTCCTAATTCAAGATATGCTGGATAATCTGATAAGTGATGGTGATATGTGAGCACCTCTCAGGCAACACCTTAGCACAGGGTTCATGTTTGTGTTTACATGTAATCACACCACTCCACTCGTAGCCAAGAGGTAAAGTTCAAGGAATCTGCAAAAACACGGCTTTTACAATTCACAAAGCCAGTTTGCCACCAGTCATTGTTTTGTTGTTTTTTTACTCCAGATACATCGGTGTGTGAATTTTTTTTTATTTTTTTTTTATTACCATGTACAGCGGTTTAATGCATCAGTGGTTCTTTGCTGTAAAATGGACATCTAAGCTTTAAACAGCAATATCCATTCACTTCTTCGAGTTAATATTTAACTTAAATCACTTTAGGTGCGGATATTAAGGTCATAATGATGCACCATGGTTTGATAATGTCACTTTAGATAATAGAGTGTTTGCTTAGTATGTATTTCCTCAGGCTTTGTGTTGTCAACTCACACCAGAATCTTAAACAAATTTTTTTTAAATAAAAAAAACCTAACCAAAGGCATTATGATTAATTATAATGCAAGTGATGCTAACAAAATGTCTTGCATTTTATTTAAATTTTAGGGATAGCCAATCGAGGTTTAAACAAACTATTGTAACCTGTGTATTCATCAGACAAAGTGTTTAAGTATAAGACTTACTGCATTAATTTTTAATTTTAATGTCCACTATGGAAACTGTTTTGTTTTTTTTCATTCATTTCACATTTTAGTTACAGATAAGAAGAATGTACCTCCTCCGTGGCTTTGACACAGGTAAGGAAACCTCCAGACGTTGCCAAGCCCCACACAGAAGCCCACACAGGTGAGCAGATACTGGGCTTTGTTGTCCCACTTGGGCCTGTCCCCTGCCTCCTCCTTCTCCATCTTCTCCAGGTCCTGATGAGAGGTGATCCTGTCCTCCAGTCCAGGGTTTGGAAGAACCAGTCTCATGGTGTCTTTTGAGTTATTCCAGTCTCTAGGTTGTCAGACAGGGTGCCTCGATAGAAGCTCGGAAGTCCTCAGTGCTGCTTGCTGGCACACTGACCGTGTGTGTGTGTGTGTGTGTGTGTGTGTGTGTGTGTGTGACCTGCAGGCTCTATTTATCTGTCCCTTTCACCTACCATTTTGAAGGCCGAGTGGACCTGGGTGTCACCATCATAAAATATTCCTGCCAATGAGAGTAAGATTTGCACACATATCGGGGCAATGTGAAGCAGTTCACACAAATGTCTTCATCTGATATAATTTATTGACCAGATACATCAAGTCATAGTTTCAGATTTTTTAAAAAAGAAGTCACCAGCTCAGCTGTCAGTGTGCAGGTACTCCTCAGTTCGAGTAATAATTTAACTTTGGATCTTTGTGGATTTCATCCAGCAGGGTGAGGACACGTGTACGTTAGTAACTGTTAATAAACAACCCCATTGAGAAGTTTTAAGAGCTTAGAGCCAGTGCCAGACCTAGCAGATTCGCTGCGTTGGGCAAGATTCCTCCTTCCCTCCGCCCCAGGCAGCTACTTATTTTGTCTATAGGAGGATCCGCCATACTGTCAGTGTGAGATTACGGATAGGAGAACAGAAGAAGAATCATTTGCTCCCACAACAGATTATATGAAAAACCTCTACTGACTCATTTAAGTGTGAGATGGGTGTGCAGAATGAAAGGCATGCATTATCTATATAGTGGTCTAAAAGTCTACATGTATGTACTTCAAAAAGTATGAAACAGAAAACAACAGCAACAGTAAAAACCAAAGAAATAAAATAAGAGTGATTCGATTTCTACAGAAAAACAGTTTTTTAGAAATATATCAACAGAACTACCAATGTTGAGGAGTTGTGAGCTACATGTAATAAAACTAGTCATTTAAATATATTTGCTGTTGCCTGCTGGTACTTCAGTTATATTTGAGTAGGGATTCAAGTGATAATAACGGATCTTTATTTCTCGGGTACTCTCAAGATGTGATAGTAACATTAAATTTATTTGGAATGGTTAATTTTTGCTCTTCTGTACAAAATAAAAGCAAATGTGACTTTTTTTGGTTGTATTTTGTTCTAATGTTGCATTTTTCTTGATAGGCCACTGACAGGTTATGTTATGTTTTAGAACCATGACGCAGCAGACCAGCAGAGGCCAACATACGAGTGCAGTTCAAAAATCATTGACAAGACCCAGACATCAAACCTTAATCTGTCGCTGCAAAACCCACAGAGAAGTCTGTGAATGCGTCTTTTTAATTTCACATGACTTGACTTGATTAAATTACAGCAAAGACTCAAACTGACTTGGTTTATTCTTACCTCCGTAACTCAGAGCTTGCATGAGATTTGCAGGTTAAGGCTTGAGACTTGCTTGTGACTTATTACCTGTGTTACCAACTGCTCCAAAGTTTACTAATTAACACATATCTTGTTTGCTAAATTTAGCAAAAGAAAATTTGAAATGTGTCTTTTGTTTTCATGGGAGTTACTTGCTGTATGTGATGCAAAGACTCTCAGAAAGAACAAAAATAAATACATTTCCAAAAGTATTGAACTATTCTATGGGGTTGCTAACTGTCTTAATGATGGCCTTGTTTATGACAGTAACCACACAAGTGTTTTCAAATGAATGTGATAACTAATTGTGAGTTAAAAGTGTAGTGCGTAGGATTAAGGGGCATATATTGGCAGAAAATGAAATATGATATTCAGAACTATGTTTTCAGTAGTATTAGTGTCACCTGAAATCAATAATTGTTGTGTTTTCATTTTCAAAGCTTCATACGGAGTGGGTCGTCTTTCATGGAGCTCGCCATATTGTTCTAAAGTAACCCAGAATGGATAAATCAAACAATGGCTCAAGATTCACATTTTTACTTTATTGCATCGGCCACTATAGTTTCACTACACTCTTGACACATAGGAGAAGTTTTAATTCGATTTTTCAATTCAATTTTATTTAATTTATAAAGCCTCAGAGGGCTTGACAGCATACGCCATCTTTCTGTCCTTGGACCCTCATAGTAATGTTGCAATCTCACCACTAGATGTCACTAAATCTCACACATTAGACCATTAAAGAGGCTGCACATCCACACAGTAGTCCTCTGCACTCGTTGGATTTTGGCCAAAATTAGTGCTGCATTTACAGCTTTACATTATGTCAGTTTAATTAGCCAATCAAAATGGGCTTTGTCACCTATTCTGAGTGCTTTATTAACAAGTAAAATTAGATACAAAGAAAGAAAGTATAGTTCACAAAAGACTGCACATTAATGCCATAGACTACCTACCTTGCCTGTGGTCTCAATGCCTCTAATGCAGCACATATAGGGGAGAATCCAGGCAGCAGCCAAGCACCATCCGCCACTGCAGACCTCCAGTATCTTCAATAGCCTCTGAGGTGTTGCACTCTGACACCAGATCTACATGTAAAGAAAAGGAGAAAATCAAATTGTTCAAATGGATTTAAAATGTCAGACTGGAACTGAAGATTTTTTCTGGAATGGTGACATGCCGGTGAGATTAGCATTGAGAGCACACTGGCTCCATGGCAGTGGACTCTGGAAAGAGTTGAAGAAGTGCCACATCACCCAGGCGATGATGGTGTTGTAGTACATGCCCACTAAGAATGAGACACACATGGACAATTTTGCTAGGCTATGCTTTTAAGGTAGCTTCCCCAACACAGAAACTTCATGAACTCAACCAGAAAAGACTGAAACTCTACTCTGTCACTCTCAGATATAATAGGGTAAGGTACTGGCAGAGTTGGGTAGAGTACTTTGATTACTTTTTGCAGTAACGAGTACCCTAACGCGTTAGTTTGCTGTTTGAGTAATCAAATACTTAAGTACATTTTCAAACAAGACATCAGTTACTTCCGTTACTTTTAGAACGCCGGTCGTCTTTCACGGCGTGTGTGATGTCATCGGGTTATTCTTGTCCTGTTTTTATTACTTTCACTATTATTTGAGTCACTGTCTGTCCATGTGCCAGCCGACATGTTGTTGTAGTCACCTAAAAGCGTCAGCAGATGGCAGGAGCTACATTTGAAGCGCCATAAGTAAACTATCAAGTTACTGTATCTTCCACAGGAAGTTCAGACAAATGTTTCAGAATAAAAGCCTATTTAGAAAATGGAGGGATTCTCTCAGCCGAGGTTATAAGGGGCTTTTAATTTGAAACAAGTGTTGAGTTTGAAATGACGGTGCGATATGTTAACTTTACAAAGACAACGGAGCGGATAAAAAGTAAATATATAAACACACAGAGGGATTAATAAATAACGGACCGTCTATAATGTAGTTTGTTTCAAATGAAGCTGGGAGCCTCTGCAGTTGTGGTGAGTAAAAGCCCCGCCGCTATTTGTTAATGTTATTACTTTATGTCCGACCGTGAGGATGTACCATTGTTTGCTAGCTTGATGCTAATGACAGTAACGTTAACTCAGCGGGTTGACAAAGTGCCTCTGCTGTTTCACACCATCATTTCCCCCTTTTACTCTGTGTGGTAACATCCCTAGAGGAAATATTAAAAACGCTGGGGTGTTGTTGTGATACAGTTGTCTACAGCAGCAGATCGTTCTGTGTTTCTACTGGTCAAAGTGACGGTGTTATGTCCCTACTGGTTTCCAATTTAACTGGTTTCCTTACCGAACAGCTGCAGATGTGCTGCGCCTCCGTCAGCAGATTTGTCACAAATTCACAAACATACACAACATATTACTGGCGATCTTAAAGTCGCAGCCCACATCTACCACAGCGAATATGCTTCTGTAAGTGAGCACTACGTACCAGCGACATTAAAAAAAAGAAAGGAAAGAAAATATGATATACACAAATTTCCGTCAAGCTGGGCTCGATTTCACGTCATCAAAAGACAATATAACACAAACCGCATGTCTACCTATGTGAGCCACTGAGACTCACAGAGCGCACAGCTTTCCTCAGGTATTAGTAAATTACGTCAGCATCCAGGTAACATTTTGATTTGGGCTGACCTGAGACAACTGGTTACCCTCGGCTTGCCTTGAAAATACCCACACATATTTATCAGTGTTTCTTGTTCTTTTTCCACGAGTCTACAAACATATTCAGTGCCACATTACAGTCTGCACAACACTGCACACTATGACAAAGCCTGTCAACGGCTGTGATGGGAGAATTGGATCTCAGTGAAGGGCAAGTGGTCCATAACTTTAATTTTGGAGACAAAAAAATGTAGGCTTAGCGCCCTGTGGTCCATTGCCCAATAGGAAATGTAGAATTCTCAGAAGTACTTTAAAAGTGCTTGAGTTACTTTTCTCAGGGAGTAACTTTGGAAGTACTTTTAAAGTAACTGAGTTACTTTACTCAGGGAGTAACGCAGTAAAGTAACTGGTTACTTTTAAAGAAAGTAACGCAGTAACGTACTTTGATTACTTTTAAAGTAACCCTTACCCAACACTGGGTAAGGGTTACTTACCCAGTGTTGGGTGCCCCATTGCATCCTGGGAGAAAATGGCTTTTCCTTCCTCTTTGGTGCCGCTGACGTGTGGAATCAAGATGTGTTTTTTTTTATTATTTAGAAATATACGGAATATGAAATGTGGACATGCTGGTATTTTCCCCTTATATATTGTTTAAAAATGGCTTTGATATGTTATTGGCGTGATTCATTTTTGCGACAGGTGGGGCATGTCACATGACTGGCTCAGGCAGCACTATGGGTATTTAAGATGGCGACTTTTTGCCTTGTATCACAAGTCTGAGGAAAGAGAAAGCTTTGTGTTCCCAGTTGTCGCATTCATTCAACCCTCAGGATGTTTCACATATACTTAACACATGATGATTATGATTCAGCTTGTGGCTGATTAAAAGCACATCAACTCATTCAAGCTAATGAGTTCAATTTAAGGATTATCAGCCTATGTTTAGATTAACAAAGGCTAGTAATTCTTAACCATTCTGGAAAATGTGACACAGCTACAGATAAGAGAATGTGCTGTGATTGGCTGTCAGGGTGTGTGAAGAAATCCTTGCACTTTGTTCTGCTTTTACAATCAGTCATTAACAAACGATGGACAAGATTATAATATGAAACTGATGTGTCTTTCTCTTGGTTTAGCAGTGTTAAAAGAAGTGTTGTTCTGCCCTCCAGTGTTAACAAAGATCTCTACTGAGTTTTCCCTCAGGGTTTTAATGACATGTTACACAATAGATTTTGCTCATATACACAGATGATGATTACAGGTGCACAGACTAAGGGCTTAGTAATGTAGTAAATGGTAATTGGACTGTGCCATAAAGCATTGTACCTCTCATTTACACACACTCACATGATGATGGCTTGATTATCAGGGCCTACCCACCCATGGAAATAGCTGGGCCCCTGAAAAGGTCCAGTAAATTTTCCCTTCCCCAAATCTGCTGCACTCATATTAACACGTATGCATGCTGTCTTTCCTAGTTGAGATAAGTACATTTCTCAGGTCATGTGAACTGCAGTGATGATGCAATGACTTTTTTTTTGTTTTGTTTTGTTTTTTGCATCGGGTGCATACGGAAATAAAATGGCTCATACCATTTTCAGGAGAGGGGGTTTCATTATGAATAGGCTACATTTTACTCCAGCAGCAATAAATACAGTGTTTATTTCTGTTGTTTTGATAAGGGGTGGTCATTTTTTTAGTTCAAAGGAAAATTACTTATATTTATGATTTAACACAGCAAATAGCATCTGGATAAGCTAACTGAAAAGATTTAATTCAAACCTCACATCCATTCTGTTTTATGGATCTGAAACATGGAACATTACCACCAGCTAGGGCTGGCATGATACCAGATTTTCACAACATGATACCAGGCTGGAGCCTATCCTTACTGACATTTGGCCAGAGGCAGGATATGCACAGGTTGCCAGACAATCACAGGGTTGGCACATAGAGACAGACAACCTTTACACTCACATCCACACCTGTGAGCAATTTACAGTCATCAAGTACACTATCCTGCATGTCTTTGGACTGTGGGATGAGTACTGACAGAACCCATGCTGACAGAACATGAAAACTCCACACAGAAGGGCCCTGGGTTCAAACCAGGAACCCTCTTGCTGTAACAGTGCAACAGTGCTATCCACTGCACCACTGATAGTGACGACGCAACTGGATGGTGTCAGCAGAGGGAGACAAAGTGACAATGAGGAGAAGCCGAAATGCTTTTAGAAGCACTGGATTATTTACACAGTACATTTGTGTGTATTATCAATATTTCAGTTTTAAATCTCACAGTTATCATCAAAAGCGGCATATGCCATGGCCCCCCTTGGCCACCCCTTGGGGTCGCCAATGCATGGCAACAACTGGATCAAAAGGCACAATACCTGAGAGGTGGAGGGGCTGATGTCTATGGTCTATGTTCCCCAGAGAACACAGGGGCCTAATCAGTTCAATCATCTACCCTGCCAGACTAAGGCCTACAATACACAAATTAAAAGGACACTTAAAAAAATTTAAATAGTGTGTTTAAGTTTGGAGACACTATCAACAACTCAGAACCTCAGATAATTTTAATCTCATCAGCAGATAAAACCATTAACACAAGACAGAAATGCTCCTAGAGAAGATGATAGTGCCTGTGGCAGTCCGTTTACTCCAATGGTTTCAGTACAGTAACTAAATGTACACTTGTTAGTCAACAGTTGGTTTAATAGACTCAGAAAAGGTTCATTAATAGATAGGTTGGTAGAAATGATTAACTGGCAGAAATACCTGCAGTTAAACTTTTTAGACACAAGAGGTCAGCATTGGGCAAGACTGAAACTTGTGACTAAACTTAACAGGAAATATTTTTATCTCTGTATTACTTTGAGTTTGACAGAAAACGTTTTGTACTTTTAGCTTTTAAGAGCTCCTTTGGTGACATTGCTTATTTATTAAATGACGCAATAACGTCCAATAAAGGTGAAATATAATTGCTTTCATGATTTTTCCCTTTTCTCGAAATTTGCAACGACATTTTAGGTCGTTATATTACATATGTATGTTCATATTCTTCCACACATGAATTTATGTTTTATATATGATTAGTGCAGTTCATTTTCATATAGGAAGCCACTGCTAAGCCGGAGACAGTTATCTGAAGGGAGGGGGAGGAGGGAGTGATGAGGCAGAGGGGAAAATAGATATTGGAGGCGGGGGAGGGAGGTGTGGGGGGTGGATTTACTGGGACTCAGACAGACAGACAGCAGACCGGCTGTCCCAAGCTGCTGCGCTGATCCTTCACTCTCCGGCAACAAGCTGGAGTCCGCCTGCCGCCTCCCCTTTATCACTGGCCACCTGCCTCTCCGAGAATAACACACCAAAAAAGCTCAGTGCGAGCACAACCACAGCAAGGAGGCGAGACAAGATCCTTGACCGGTTCCTCAGTGCCACCTTTTCGGCTTCCAAACACACAACCTCCTCTCCCCTACCTACCCCTGTCCTGCGGGAGGACAGGCTGCGCACAGGAGCGCACTTGGCGACCCGGGTTTGTTGTCGTTACCAGGAGAGGAGCGCACAGCGAGCCGAGCCATAGCTGGTACAGCTCTCATTGAACCGGGCTGTCCCCTCGGCGGAGACACTTGCATGGATGCACCATGGCCACGTTTGTCTGCAGGGTTCAGTTTTTAGATGACACCGATCCGTTCAACAGCACGAATTTCCCAGAACCGACGAGACCACCGCTGTATACCTTCAGGGAGGATATCCCACTCATCAACCAGTTAGCAGGCATCCACCGGCTCCTCAAAGCGCCGCACAAGGTAGGATTACCAGCGTGGTAAACAACTCACCCTACACTTGTAGCCTTATGAGAATGTGTCATATATGGCGAATACAGGAATTTTATAGTGATAAATTCCACATTATAAAATCAATAGAAACTCAAGGACAAATAAAAGTCTTAATGGAAACATAAGTTTAAATTCAAGCACACATTCTTGTGAACATACAGGTTTAAATCAGGGCTACATGAGGTTGTTTTGACTGCTGTTTTTCTCTTGAAGCCTGCTGCAAATAAACTTTCATACCCACCATTCACAGTCTATTTTGAGAACACATGCAAGCACAACTGACTGGCTCTCCAGCCTCGGGACTGAGACAAGGTTTGCCTCAAAGCCCACAGCAACATGACACATGGACTTCATTTGTGTTATACTAAAATATTCTGATTTAATCCCATGTTGGCGTACATTTGCTCTGCTGTAGTGCCACTGGATCTCCCCCCAAAAAAACTTGAAGCAGACTTTAACCTTTGGCCTCTCTGGTGAGCAGGGTAGAATGAAGATGAATCTCCTCCTTAAAGCGAATAATCCTGTCTTATTTTTGTTTTTTTGTGCTCTGTCACTGTGGCAGGTGTGCAAAGGCATCCATGCAACCAGATATATCCTGAGTTGCCTCATTTGTCTGTGATTGACAGTCAGTGGAAGCTCTGGTGTCCGGCAGCGAAAAGCCTGAATCACAGATGATCAAATTTAGGCGCTGGTCAGATTACGATGGATAGAGAAAAAGTATCTGTGTGTGGTTCTTAGTGAATTTCAGTGTTTAAAGCCGCCCAGATATAAATATAAACACAGCAACACATTCCTTACTCACAAGGTTGAGTCACACAAACATGTGGAGCAGACACTTTGAGACCTTGTTTGTATTCTTAATGTGTAAATAGATATTTTATAATTCAAGATGAAAACATTTAACAGATGGATTGAAATAAAAGTGAGACATAGAGAGAAACAGAGAGCTCCAGTGCTGGCACACAACCCTGACAGCAAACCAGCGTTCAACAGCAAAGTGGTTTTCCAGACCAAAAAGATCTTTTGCTGCCCCATCTTTAAAAGCCACAAAACAAATGAAAAATGGCCCACAGCACAGAAAAGCTTATGATTACAACCTATACACAGACAGATGGCACAGCCTGCGTTCATGTTTGCAATTTTGTTCACATCAGAAGGAAGACTGTGTGCGCAATGGCAACTGGATATTGTGCTTAGATTATAGGGATGAAAATGAACTGTTGCAAATTCGCCCGTCAGACTGTTCAGATCGAAAAGTTGGTGTATTGGAAAATGCCAAAGCGAGCAAGAGCTTGACACTCTCCTGAATAGCTTCTTAGTCTTTCTTTGTTTAAGTCGCCTTTTTCTCTTCTTGTTCCTAACCTTCTGTGCTCTTCTCTGAGAAAAGCCTACTGTATTATTATGTTGTGATGGTAGAGCTCTGTGTATGGCTGGCTGGGCTGCATGTAAAGTATAGGTCACTTGTCCCAGAATTCCTGCGGTTGGGGCCTGGATCCCTGCGACACTTTGTTCTCCTCACTTTGGGTGCCGTGGTTTTCCTGACCTCTTCCTCCCTCTGCTCTTCCACCTCTCTGACCATGCACCAGTTTGTGGACTCGAACACAAACACACATAAACATATGCATGCACACACACACAAACACACACACAGTTAGGTTAACATGCCAGGGCTAAATCAGTGCATCACTGGTTTGTGTGCATGGGATGTGTCATTTTATCCAAGCTGCTAAACAAAGAAGTTTCCTTTTGATTCTCACAGAGTCACAATGACTACGTTTACATGCCCAAAATAACTCGCTTTTTGCCCTTTTCCCAAAAAAGACAATATTCCTTCTAAGCTGTTTACATAGCTAATGACAATGAACATTCCATTAATATTCCCATTGACATCCCCCTAACATAGGGTGGTGTCAAAATATGGAAAAGTGGAATGGGTGAAGCTGCTTGTGCCATTTTGCTTCTTTGCCTCATGATAGGACTTTTCAAAGTTTTCCACCAATGGTAGACGTTTTGGATCATATGAACCGTGTTGTGGGATGCCATGGTAGCTCACCTGGCAGAGGTTGAATCCTTACCGGTGGCCCAGGCTTGAGTCCAACTTGCGGCCCTTCGCTGTCTGGCTCGTCCCCCTTTGGTGTCTATTTCCTTCCTATCTAATGAAGGCAATAAGGGTTGGTGTGGTGATATTTCCGCATATCCAAAAACCTGTTGATATCCAGTTCTTTCATAATATTTAAAAGTCAGTGTGTTTCTCCTTCTGACCAGAAACATTGGCTTTTCTTTTGGGTATGCAGCTCTATTTCAGCCTTGCCATTTGCGCTGGGAAGTCAGAATAGCTCCCACTCAGAAATTTCAACTGGAACAAACCCTGAAGTCAGATTCTGATTCAGAAAGTCGGAGGAACCTCACCAACCCCAATCTTAAAATCCAAGATGGCTGTTCCGTGGATCAACAGTAGTGAAAGCTGTAGTAATGTACTGTTTGTTAGCATTTATTATTGTCTTTTTTGTGTCACATTAAAACAGTCTCATACACCGTTTTGTCCAACTTCACTCTGTGGACATGTTTTGGCAGTGTTTGTATGCCCAAAATACAGCGTAATGCATTATCAACTGGTATTGCTAACAATGGCTAACTTGGCTGGAGCTGGTATTGCTCACAACATCTTGTGTTTTTTCAACTTAAAATGCAATCAACTCAGGTGTGTAATGTCATTCCCAGCCTCGACCTCTGACTTCCAAGGTTAATGGTTTGTCTACAAATGCATCCATGACAAGCCACAGAGCTGTAAACAGGCAATATGCCGTGTGTCCCAAACTGCAGTGAAAACCCCAATCGAGACGCATATTCAGAATGTGCTGTAGCCTACACATGTTCAAGGAATGCTCCTAAAACCCATATTATATCAGCATATCCCAAATCTTAATCAGGAAATGGCGCTATATTCGTAAAAGGCCTCATTTGGAAAATCCAAATGGAATATGCAATTTACATGACCTGACTCCTCTTAAGTAAAAAATAAAATGAAATGATCAATTAGGCTCAACAAAGCTAATCAAAGTGTCATGTGAATGTTAAAGATGTTAAACTCAGATCGGTGAGCTAGCCTAAACTCTTAGACAAGTCACCCCCCAAAATGATGTATTGATGTTCAGCTCAATGCAGAAGCCTCACCATCAGTCAGCAGCCAGTTTTTCAGCAAAAAAACTCCTATTCACCTCAAAAACAACAAAGCCCAGACTCCACAGCTCAACTTTTATTTCATTACCAAAGGGCTCCCATTAAAGCAACACAGGGAGATTTAATAGCCATGTAGAACACACCCTCCTCCACGCTCTTCAAAGAGCCTGATCCTCAGTGGCTCTGATTTTGACATAAAAACGTTCTTAAAAAGTCATCGTTTAAGTTATGTAAGGGTATTGTTAAGTGTCAACCCGCCAGCAGGCTTGGTGTTGTTTTAATGTGGAAGTAATTACTCCACTACCCCCACTTCTTTCTCTCTCTGCTTTGCTCTTCTGGGAGAATTTGATTAAATGAGTGTAAAGTATACTAGCCACTAAGTGTTTCCCTGGCTTGTCCCGGAGCCTTGAGTGTGAAGAGCTTGCGGTTCCTTCTGGAGCCACTTCTCTGCCGGCTCCGTCCAGCATGATGTGTTTTGTTATGTTATTACTACTATTACCCAAGCAGAGTGTTTTAGGAAAGAGACACCCTTTGGACGGCGGGCTGTTAACGTATTGTGTTACAGACTCACTTCTCGCTGTCCAAGCAGTATTTGTATGATTGAGTAATGTGTGTAGATAAAGCGGAGCAGCAAAGGAAAGCAGGGAGCTGGAGCTGAAGCTGGAGGTATTAGCGGTGGTGGGACTCCATCTTGGGACATGTGTGAGACAGAATGAGGGATTTTCAGAGACATAAACAAAGCCTCATTCAAGGACAAGACAGTAATGTATATGTGGAATATTGAAAAAAACTGCTGAATAATGCAAATGGATTGGGCACAAGAAATGCTTTTGTCTTCTTCCTACATAAAAAGTGGGGCAGTGGGACAGGGCATGATTAACCCCCCCATCCTCAACCCCTGTCTCCTTAATCAAAAGAAGGAGTACTTCATTAAACTTCAACCACCAAATCTCACGAAAAGTTTGATTAAGAATAGCATTGCACTAGGGTTCAACAGCTGGTATATTGGGGTTAGACTACAAAAATGGCCCGTAAAATATTTGATTAGTGGATTTATTTCAGCTGTGTTAGCAGCCAAGCGGGTTCTAGGGATGGCAAAGCTGGTTTAGCGGTTGGTCCACCACTTTAGGCCAGATTGAAATATCTCATCAACTATTGGATACATCACAAGAATTTGGATTGATATTTGGCACATAGTAATGTACTCCTTAGGACGAGCTGTAACAACTGTGGTAATCCCTTGAATTTTCATATATCAGGTAAAAATTTCAGTTTGTCCGATGCTTTGGTTTGTGACAAAATACCAGAAAAACTGACATTTCCATCAGGGAGACGGGGATGGTTCTAACATTTTTGACATTTCTGTCTGTATCTTGGAGCTTGTTTAAACCAGCACGTTCAATGTGATACCAACTACTTACAGTAAAAGCTTTTAATGTGACACTTGACACTATTGTAAAAGAGACATCAGTAAAACTGTTGACAGGACACCTTGAACTGCTAACAAGGTCAATTATGACTCTCTCTATTATGAATTTTTGATCTGTTTGATCTGTTTTTCCCCCGTTAAAGGTTTTTTTGGGGGGAGTTTTTCCTTCCTTCCCGCTGCGAGGGTCCTAAGGACAGAGGGATGTCGTATGCTGTAAAGCCCTGTGAGGCAAATTGTGATTTGTGATATTGGGCTTTATAAATAAAATTGATTGAAATTGATTGATTGATCCATGGAGGTTTTATATTTGTAAAACTTTGTTGACCCAAGAAACACAATATAAAAATCTGTGACATCATCACAATATGAAGGCTATAAGCAGAGCAGGAACTCACAGGCGGTGCCAGGAGGAGAAACACTACTGCACATATTCAGTGGGCTGCATACTGTGGAAATAAACCTGAGGCTAGAAACTTTTTTACCGTGTACGCCAGACGAACAACAAATAGGTACCATCTTAGCATCCAGTGTCTAGGTACTATTATAAATCTGTGGTACAACCATCCCCGGTCTCCCCTACCATGTGTTTAGTGCTAATTGTTAGCATGCTAGCAGAGAAAGGTAAGCTGGTGAACTTGGTAAACATTACACCTGCTAAACATCAGCATGTTGTCACTGTAAGTACCTTGCTATTGTAAGGTTAGCATTTAGCTTAATAAAGGGAAAGTCCACTCAAGGTCCTCTTACTGTCTTTTTACATAGCTGTCAGCCACAATTTTTTTAGGCTCTTCCCTAGTTTTTTTCCTGCCTATACCATATCAGAGGGGTCTACCTTGGAGAATGTGGCTATGACAGGATTTACTTTTACCTAACTGACTAAATTTCAACAGGGGACGTGTCCGAGAACTGTGTGTTTTGCTATACGGATTAGCCATTTGGCACACAAGGATTAATGTTGTTGTGAGGGGGTGAGGGGAAACTGGAGCAGAACCCAGAGTCACCTCATTTTCTCCCAGCGCATGATTCCCTGCTCTGAGCTTGGATTGCTCAAATACTTTCTGATAGGTTGGCATAGCTCTGCAGAGTTCATTGCAACATGGATGGCTATCAGCTTCTCCTTTGCAACACTTTGGCCTTGGCAGTGCCTCCCCCTTTAACTCCCAGCCCCTGCGGACACACCCACCCTTGAGCTCCTGAGTGCATGCTGCCTCAGTGCTGAGTAAATATAGCAAGGTTATATTTATGCTATGAGTCCATCCGACAGTCCGTCTCTCTGTTTCCCAGTGAGAAGGAGGGACAGACAGAGAGCAGCAGCAGGTCTTGTGATCTGCGGTCTCCGCTGGTCAGGGAGTGTCGTCATGCTGCTCGCCCCGAACAGCCAAGGGGCGTTTGGCAGCACACCAGAGGCTAGGTTCGACCTATAGATACTACAGAGGTGCTAACTGCTAATGCAACTCATGACTCTGATCTCATTTACCTAGTCATACTTTTCACAATTACTTGTAAAGCTCATATTGTCACAGCAACACAATGATGTATGTTACTTTTTATGCGTTGTAGCTGGGATGGCTGCGTGCACCTGCTATTAACTTGTGACTGTACCCATAAACATCAATGCCAGTGGCGTGCAGATATATTACAGTGCACCTGGTCTCAAAGTCAGCAGAGTTTCTCGTTACACAGCACAGCCAATCAGTTCTGACGTAGGCTACTCTGCAGTGCTACCTTAGATCATGCAGTCACAGAAGGCATGGGTGCAGGATTGGTCTGCTCTGGAGAGGTGAAAAACAGAATCTGTCATGTGCATAAATGTGTACATGCACTGCCAGAATTAGCACATTCAGCGCACTTTGCAAGCTTCTGTATTTCTGTATTTACTTACTTGGATTAAGTAAGTGGGAATGACTGTGATTGCAGCTTCATATTGTGCACATTTTTTAAATTATATTTGAGTGTTATTCACTTACAGTTGACATTCAAATGCACTAAAATCTCTCCTCCTTCCTCTTTGTATGCCTCCAGCTTTGGTTTCATGTTCTGCAGCCTTTATTGCTACGTCTCTACTAGTTAATTCCTTTAACAGCTTTGTAATGCTAAAAGCAGAGCAGCAACACATATGGCTCTCCCACTTTTCACGGATCACTGTACACATTCGTGTTGAAGTCTTTGCCCCGTAAACTGGCTCAGATTGTTTCAAAAAAGGGTGTAAAACACATGCAGCGACATAGTGAGCGTGCATTAAAAAATAATGGGCCCAGGGTCCAATGTCATTCCTGTGGGTGGTTCATGTACGTACATCATAGCATGCCCAGGGAGGTTTCACATGCCACCCTCTATGTCCAAGTGCTCAATCGAATTTTCCATCCCTAATTTGGGTATGAATGCCAATTTTTCATTTCGTTCAATGCAGTTAAATCCATTCCAGTATCTCAGTTCAGGTCCATTTCATTCATTAAAGATTTTTTTCATTCTTTTCCATAGCTTGACGACTGCACGCTGCAGCTCTCCCACAATGGCACCTATCTGGATCTGGAGTCCTCTCTGGCCGAGCAAAAGGACGAACTGGAGGGCTTCCAGCAGGATGACACAGGGTAAGACCGATTCACATTCATATCTTTTAAAACAAGACATATAGACTGACACTCTTCACCCTTCTCTCCTACACACACTCAAATATCTTCTCTAAGTTTTATGCATTCTTATAAATTGGAAGCATCACAAGCTGCTGGATATGGATTTCTTGGAAGCACAAGTTCATGGAAAGTATGAAGCTCTCTGGAAAGCGGGACAGATGTGCCCTCCCTTCCATAGCTACGGCTCTCTGACTGTGTTTTTATAATAATTGATATTCTGATCTTGTTTGCAACAAAATTTCACAGATCACAAACCTGTCAACTCCGACACAGCATAATCACTTTGTAAAGCAAAAAGTAAAAGCACTGTCATGAAGTATTCCCAGTTTCTCATACCTCCCAGCAGCAAAGTTATGCTGGTGTCTGTCTTTGGGTTAACAAGAGAAATGGAAAATAAATATCTGCTGCTAGGGCTGAAGATTTCCCCCTAGAAAACTGTGTGGCAGTCGTGGTGAGCAAACTAGATCCTGACATGCCTTGTGTTAATTTAGTTAGTAGATTGTGGCCTAAACAAGATCCGCAAAAATTTGGCCTTTTCAGTGTGAAATAGCACTTTTGTGTTGCCAGATGTGCAATAATCATGTCATTTGTATGATAAGTCAGCTCTTTGTGCTGTAAAAAAAATCTGCAAAATATACTGTAATTTCAACATGTTTGAGGTTTTCTATATAATGATAAGTAGCTTGCCAGCCTGATGTATCATCATGTGTCATCATGTGTTATCCACACCTAGTTACAGCATAGTGTTTCAAACATACCCTCGTCCTTACTAAATAACTAAAGGTTATTTGTTTATTTCAGAAAAGTGAACTACTTTTTTATACTGTTAATTGAAGTGGTCTTTATTTCAGCCCAGGTAACTAGCCTCTGCTATAGTGTTAAAATGCTGAGAAAACCTGGCTATACAACACAAGGCTACAAAGAGTAAGATTCAACAGGGGAACCATATAAAAAAGACAGAGGCGTTATACAGTTACTGAAAATAAATTACCAAATAACATGCCTGCATTTGTTTCCAAAATTATGTTATGGTGACACAAGTTAAAGTTATCTTCTCAGTGCTATGGCGAACCAATAGATTTATAATAGAGTGCCCCAGGAATGGCATTTTTCTGCAGGCAGATGTGGAAGTTAGCATAGCACTGTTTACCTCGTCAAAAAGCCTATGGGATTTTTCCATTAGATTTTGGATTACTGCAGAAAATAAGCTCTGTGGCAAACAAACATTTGTTCAGCAAGATAATCACAAATTAACACCACTTTCTGATAATTATTGAGGCCAAAATGCCATCGCCAGAAGTTAAAAGCTAACATTAGGCTATAAACAAGCAACAATGCAGTCGCATGACCTAACGTCACCACCAAAACCAAACTGTAAAGCCTTGTTTGGCGCGGTGCAGCGCGGCGTGATGCTCTGTAGTCACTTATTAGCAATCACCTTTTTTTAAGAGATACAAAAGCTTCACTGACGTATTTTATGTTGTAGAACAAAATGTGAAAGCCTCTTAAGCTTATTTCAGGCACCTAATTAAAAACACATTTAAAAAAAACACTGACTTTGGGACCAGGGAACCATGATTGCTGACATGCTAACTCATTTCCAGATTTTAGGACTCATTCCTGCACTCTACACACTTATCTAGCCACTGAAAATGCCAAGATGGCACCTTTTCATTCCAATGGCGTTGCTCACTTGGAGCATATGCCAAAAGAAGTTTCCAGCATCTGGGTGTATTTCCGTGGTATGCTGCACACTGAATACGCAGTGTAAACTTTCTCCCACTGGCCCTGCCTGTGAGGTCCCACCTGCCTCATAGACTTTACATTATGATGGTGTCAGAGATTTAAAAAACTCTCTCGGCCTATGGGGAAAATGCTTTTCGGAATGCAGGGGATTTTTTCGCTGCAGTATCACAAGTGGCCACTGGGAAACTAGCCAGCTTCCAGTTGAATTAGCGATACTGAACTTTACAATTAGCAGACAAATAAGTAGTTTTACCGTAGCTTATAAGTGACTATGCATGCATATTTACTATCTGTGTAACTGTTGTGTAAATCCAGTGGTTTCACAATAAATCTGTGTTGCTTCATAACTAGCTGGCCAGCTGTTGTCACCTTAGTTACTAAGCTGTATACAAACTGGTGTACAGTAACATTGTCAGTAGAGAATTAGTAGGTTCCCAGTATAAAAACAGGAGATACATTGTGTTCAGTGCTGCTGCTGAGAGGGCTGAGTCACAACTTCAGAAATGCATTTTGTTCTCAGCTGTTGTCTCCAACATTGGTGACAAAGCATTGTCATGTGGAGCTCTGACAAATACACAGAGATGGCAGCTGGCTGTGTATGTAAGTGTGTGTGTGTGTGTGTGTGTGTTTGTGAAAAGTTGTGGTATGTTGATCTGTTTGGAGACCAGGGGGGCAGTGGAATCATGATAAGTGATGGCAGACCCACAGAGCCAGGTTGTTATCTGTGTCTTTTTCTGTATGGTTGTTTCCATGTGTACATTTATTTGTTTGTCCCTGTGTGTGTTTTTATTGTGCCCCTGGCAAGCCATGTGACAGATGAAGGACAGGTGTATAGAGGCGTGTGTGTTTTTTGAAGTGGGTGAGATCTTGGGGAGCCGGTCTGATTGGACAGGCCTGTCTGTCATCCTATCAAACTTGGCTTTTACCAAGGTCACACTGCACTGACAGTAGGAAATGAATCACAGGTTGGGCTGGGTTTGACCCTCACAGAGGTTGACGATGGATGCTTCCGACTAAACCTGTCCTCCTCAGAAGAGCACTATTTATATAGTGTCAGAAATGAACAAACTAATCATTCTCAACATCTCAGCCTCACACTGCATATTTTACTTGTGTTTTAAAGTCAGGCTGTTTTTGACAGCTGTTTTAACACCTTAAAGGCATAGTGGTTGTGAATTTTGGATTGTCTAGATGTGTCAATTTATCAGTTGTCATAGTGCTGTTCTGTATTTATAGCTGTTTGTCACGTGTACTGTCTTTTCTCGCTGAAGCTGTAGCTTCTCTAATCTCACAATAATTCTGTCTCATCTTTAAACATGGCCACTAAAGAAGTTTTTCACTGCTAGAAAGATAGCAGATAAGACACAGTATATGGTGCCCATTTCCTGTTCACAAACTCTTGTTATTACAGCTAAACAGGGCACTAAGACACGTTTCTGAAAACATTTCAAGCTAGAAGTAGACAGTGCAGTAACATGATGTTCAAGCAGCAGCCCCATGGATGTATTAAGTGACCTGGATACAGCATTGAAGGCGGGACCTCGTTCATTCCTATGAAAGTTGCTCAGTGATGCATGAAGCCATAAATGGTCTATGTCTGCGATATGAAATTACCGGGATGATTGGCACTGCTTCCACATCATTAGGCTTACGACTGCCGAGCATGGCCAGGCATGGCCAAGTGGCTAACTTCTGCTGGCCAAGCAGCTGACTTCTAAATTAACACTCCACTAACTTGAATGGGGATAAAATGACTTAATCTTGTTGCTCTTATAGACTTTCCAAGTATTATTGGACTGAATGGTTCAAATCTGGACAGTAAAACGAGTCATTTCACAGGGGTTGTTTTGCCCTAAACAAATGTATCCACTGAGTTACAGACATTTCTTTTCCACTGTAAGTCTGTGGGAAAAAGTTGGGCCCAATGGCATCATGTGATGACCCTTGAAATTGCAGTACCACTGTTTGGCCACTGCAAAAATTGGCTTCAAAGCCTGGCGTGCTTCATGTTTGTCTAAACAGCCCAGGAGAGACAGCAAAACACTCCACTGGGAGGAATTCTAGGCAGTAATTAGATGGACTGAAGGTTCATCCACAGTTCATTTACACATCCCACCCACATTGTTTCAATACAAGGCTGCTTTAAAATTGGCGAAGTGTCCCTTTGAAATCTGCTTTTTTACTGACAAACCTGCACTGGATAACTAAAAATTGCATTCACTGAAAAATGCCTAGAGTGTTATAAAGAGTAGATTGGTATCAGTGATTTGCACCCACAATTTATGCTTCAAAAATGTGGTGTGATTCCAGCTGCGGCAGGACGCTGCTCACCACAGTTGACAGTAAACAAGGGCCTCTGGTGACGAGGACAGCTCAGAGTATGCGTTCACTAAAGAAAAGTGAATTAAAAAATTGGGAGGAAATTGCTGTAGATTATAACGCACTGTAGCCAGAGTCCCTCCGAGCCATTTGAGCTGTTTTTGTATAATTCAGGATGTATTAAAATAGTGATTTAAAAGCTAAAAATCTAAAAATACAATAATCGTATCACTCCCATCCGTCTTACTAACATTTTTTTATCCTCACAGTTAGAAATTATATATGTTGAGTCTTTTATACTCTCAATCCAATGGTTGCATCTTGAGTTTAATTCTTCTCCTGACTGTCATTCTCACACAAGACATTATCAGACAGGTACAGCAATAAAAATGAATTTGCAAGAAAAACAGTTTTATCAGTATCTCAACAGATCATGTTAACATTTTGCTCTATTTCCAAGCAAAGCTGATAACAGAGCTTAACAGAAGGATAGAAGACCAGCTGGTCTCTTGTTTGGGTGTGTGTTATCCTTACTACATGCAATGCATTATGGCTGTATTGCAGCAGTGTGTGTTATCAGAGCAGGGCTTTCCCTGCTTGGATTGGACGCCATATCAGCATGTTAGTGATGGAAGTCAGTGATTAGATCCTGCAGATCGGAGGATAACTGAGGTCAGGAGTGAGTTTGATTTGCTCTCAAAATACCATCATATTTTACCTTTGTGTTTGTGTGTGTGCTCATTTTGTTTTCCCACTGGAAATATGCTGAATGTGTGATGGCAGGATGGTATGTGGAGGGATGTGTTGTGTCTGCTCCTGCACTTTTGCTGTCGGTCCTCAGGGCCCAGATGTGTATCAGTATAGGGGTACAAATCCAATGCAGGTCAATGTTTGTCTGCACTATTCCCGTCAGGCCAGGTGCCTCTGCATTACAAAAATGTCACTCGTCCTCACCTCATATTTTGTCTTAAAAATGTCATTTTCTTGACACTCATAAAAAAACTTTAGTGCTTTCTAGATTGTACAGCACTTTGGCAAACCTCGGTTGTTTTAAATGTGCTATATAAATAAATTTGACCTTGACCTTGACCTTGAAAGCAGTAGCCAACAGTACAGTAGCCGTTTCAATTGTTGCAGGATGTTCTACTCTACAGTCAAGACAGATCACTCCACTAATGCCAACAAAATTACACTTAATTCTAGAAAGTACATGAAACAAGTTTTTTTAGGTTTGGCTGTAAGTGAAATTATTGTGCAGAAACTAGACACTGTGTTGCTTTCATTCATGAAGACAATTTGGCTTCTTTCGTTTTCAGGTCCAGAGGGAAGAAGCACAGTGTTATTCTTCGGACCCAGCTGACCGTCCGTGTACACGCCTGCATCGGTGAGTGCTGTGTGACATGTTTATGTATGTGTTTAACACAAGTTTCCCCCCGGACACACACACACACACACACACGCCCTGTCAGATACATCAGCAAGCCCTAAGAACACGTTGTACTACATGCTTAGATGGTCGTCCAGGGGTTTACACGTGGTCCATGCTGGGGTCAGACCTGAGACCTCCCACTCAGAGGCAGGTTTGACTGGTATGTGAAATCTCTCCGAATTCAACGTGGTATTGTGATCATGTCAGTATTCTGCATTAAACAGATGGGAGCTTTTACACAGTTTGGAGAGAGAAAAGTGAAAGTAAGCTTTCTATGTGGCTGTAAATGTGAGTGCAGTTTTTTTCACATCTGGGGCTGGTGAAGTCTTCATGGTGTGAAGCACTTTAAGTTTTCCCAGTTTGTAATGGTGGAGAGGAGGAGAGTGGAAGAGACAGACTGAGGGAGTTGAAGAATCTTTAAGAAAAAGATAGCAGCAATTTGTTATGATAAGAATAGGAGGAAAGAAATGAATGAGAAATTAACAAGGGAGGGATGATAGAAGATGATAATTTAAAACAATTCATAATTTAGCATCTCAGCCTCTACAACACTTTATTTTCTCGTCTGAGATCTTATTTCTTGCCTACTGGCTTATCATTTAATGTACAGTCGGTCTATGTTAACAAAAAATAATCAACTGAGAACACATGCATGGTTTTGGTGTCTGTTTTCTTATTAGTACGGTGTATCGGCAAGAATTTGGCGACAGATATGGTTCAAGATATAGGTGTTACAATTCAATCTACTGCGATATATTGTGATAGCAAAGCAATATACTGCCATTCTAATTTAATTTTAGGAAAACATATGGTATGAGGAGCTCACCACCAGATGCATAAAATCTGAATAGCCCAGTCCTATACCAATGCAATGTAACCAATGTATTCCTTTTCCATCTGTAACTCCCTCTCTATATATCACCCCACACTTTCATTCTCTCTTTCCCCTGAACCTGTGCTCACTTCTTCCCTCCATGACTTGTCTGCATGGCCAACATTCTCCATGCCAGTGATAGCAGTGCTAATTCTGGATCCTAGAATCAGTGCCTTGGATTGGTTGAGAAGGTGATGAGGTGAAAGGTCACTGTTGGACTAATGGTGTCTAGGGGAGAAAATGTGCACATACAGAAAAATCATTGGTTTCTCAATTCAGGATGTGAGCTACATATTTTATATGTAAGCCTGAAATGAATGAAATTATCATACAAGCCAAGGCTATTCAATTTCAATTTTATTTATAAAGCCCAATATCACAAATCACAATTTGCCTCACAGGGCTTTACAGCATACGACATCCCTCTGTCCTTAAGACCCTCACAGCGGATAAGGAAAAACTCCCCAAAAAAAAAACCTTTAACGGGGAAAAAAAAACGGTAGAAACCTCAGGAAGAGCAACTGAGGAGGGATCCCTCTTCCAGGACGGACAGACGTGCAATAGATGTCGTACAGAACAGATCAGCATAATAAATTAACAGTAATCCATATGACACAATGAGACAGAGAGAGAGAGAGAGAGAGAGAGAGAGAGAGAGAGAGAGAGATGCAGGTAATGACAGTAGCTTACAACAACATTAATGAAAGTAATAATATTATAGTTATAGTTCTGGCTACTGTGGTACAATATGTTGAAAGTATGTATTAATATCTGACAGTATACTTGTGTGACAATAGTCATATGTGTATAATAACAGTAGAAGTATGACTAATGACTAATGATGGCAGCAGCAGCAGGAGGCATCTGGCAGGACCACGGCAGCAGCACAACCACACACGTCACACTGTCCAGGCACCGCTGCGGTATGAGTTATTCTGTGAGACAGTGGAGCACAAAGGCTCCGGAGAAGAAGCCGAGTTAGCTATAAGAGATATTTTTGCAATATGCCGTAAAAAGCAGTTTGCATTCACCCAATCTTAGACACATGAACTCGCAAACATGCTCAATATTAACCCCTTCTTCAGTAGATACCCATGGACATATGGCTCCTGTCTTTTTTAGAAGGAGGGAGCTCTTCAATCCCACAGACAAGCTGTTACTGGGATGGGAAAACCTGACCACGGTCTGGTGGTCACGGTCTGATGTATGCAACTGCATACAGAATACACAATGTGTATACTGGGTTTGGTTGAAGGTGGCGGTGCTGTTTGGGCTGAGAAAGCCATGCATAAGTAAGGTAAAGGAGGTTATTGGGTTGGTGCGGGGAGCAGTGAGACCTGGCATTAGGGGAGTGTCTCTGGGACGCCAGAGATCACTGTCTAGCCTCCTGGAGGTGTCGTGGGACCAACTAGACGAAACACTGGTGAAAGGAGGTTCCCACCCGATAACCCCAAAGACATGTTAGTTATCACTGCTCACTGGTCTGTATAGTTGAGCCTTGCCATAATAGCTTATCATAGGGCTTACGAGGTTATTCACTGAGTTCTGATCCTTTCTCTAGAGCACAAACTTCTTGTGTTTATTTGAAAACTGATGCACGTAAGGTGGAACCAAAGTTCACAAGTGCAAGTTCCACCCGGAAACTTTTAGCCGTGCACTGTCAATAACATATGCTGAGGTTAGCACAACAAGCGGGTCGTGTGAGTCACTAGGCCTTTTTACACAGAGATCGCATCATAGGGCTATGTAGGTTACTAAGTCCCGTCTTCATGCCGCCTTTTCATTTTTACACAGAACGGAACAGCGGCGGCATCATTCTGCTCCTTTGTGTAATAGACAGCATGCCAGCATCGCATAATCGAAACAAGCGTGACAGGTGTGACGTGACACAGTAGCGTTGGCCTGTAGTGTGACATAAAACATACACATTGTCAGCACTTTCTAAACAATAACAACGACACAACATGGCAATAACAATAATTCCCTGTTATATGGCGGCTGAGCTAAAGGACCTTATTGTTTTCCCAGTTTGTGGACATTTTCGGATGCTGTTCTTCTTTGGGTTAGCTGCCAACTGCTAGCAGCTACTTTTCAAATCTCCTGCTGTGGGTTGCACACATAACACATTGTCAAAAGGACACACTATGATCCCATTCTGCCAGCTGTCCCATTCATACAGAGGTTGTGTACAATGGGGTAGCCACACTATGGTGAGCACAAATGAAATCCTGAAGCTTTAAGACCCATCTACAGGTCCCGGGTCAGCTACAGCAGCAACTAAAAGAGTTGTGTGTAAGATGAGGATGGTGTGTCGGGGTTGCTCCACTGTTGAAGGGTCTGTGAATGGAAACATGTACAAAATGCAAATGCACATTTGACAGCATCACCCAGATGGTCCAATCACTGAGATGATGAGTGTTTGGGTGCTTTGAATGTTTGAATATAGCCGTGGTGGAACTAATTGAAAAACACAACCTCTTACCTCTTTATGTATTTTAGTATTTCCAGTTCCATGGCATAAGAGATGCTTTTAGTTTTATAGCTTGTTTTGACCTGTTGCATTTTTTGGAAAGTGTTCAGTGAAATAGAGAAATGTTGCAAATGTTCTGTTTTTTTCAATGAAGATAGTTTACCAATGTTGCCAGTGGGCAAAAAGTTACCTCAGTCCCTCGATTATTGTGTCTGTCTTACACTTTCACTCCTGTCTGTTCCATATAGATGCAAATATATATACAGTACAGGCCAAAAGTTTGGACACACCTTCTCATTCAATGCGTTTTCTTTGTTTTCATGACTATTTACATTGTAGATTCTCACTGAAGGCATCAAAACTATGAATGAACACATGTGGAGTTATGTACTTAACAAAAAAAGGTGAAATAACTGAAAACATGTTTTATATTCTAGTTTCTTCAAAATAGCCACCCTTTGCTCTGATTACTGCTTTGCACACTCTTGGCATTCTCTCCATGAGCTTCAAGAGGTAGTCACCTGAAATGGTTTCCACTTCACAGGTGTGCCTTATCAGAGTTAATTAGTGGAATTTCTTGCTTTATCAATGGGGTTGGGACCATCAGTTGTGTTGTGCAGAAGTCAGGTTAATACACAGCCGACAGCCCTATTGGACAACTGTTAAAATTCATATTATGGCAAGAACCAATCAGCTAACTAAAGAAAAACGAAAAACTTTAAATGTGTCCCCAAGTGGAGTCGCAAAAACCATCAAGCGCTACAACGAAACTGGCACACATGAGGACCGACCCAGGAAAGGAAGACCAAGAGTCACCTCTGCTTCTGAGGATAAGTTCATCCGAGTCACCAGCCTCAGAAATGGCAAGTTAACAGCAGCTCAGATCAGAGACCAGATGAATGCCACACAGAGTTCTAGCAGCAGACCCATCTCTAGAACAACTGTTAAGAGGAGACTGCGTGAATCAGGCCTTCATGGTCAAATAGCTGCTATGAAACCACTGCTAAGGAGAGGCAACAAGCAGAAGAGATTTGTTTGGGCCAAGAAACACAAGGAATGGACATTAGACCAGTGGAAATCTGTGCTTTGGTCTGATGAGTCCAAATTTGAGATCTTTGGTTCCAACCGCCGTGTCTTTGTGAGACGCAGAAAAGGTGAACGGATGGATTTCACATGCCTGGTTCCCACTGTGAAGCATGGAGGGGGAGGTGTGATGGTGTGGGGGTGTTTTGCTGCTGACACTGTTGGGGATTTATTCAAAATTGAAGGCACACTGAACCAGCATGGCTACCACAGCATCCTGCAGCGACATGCCATCCCATCCGGTTTGCGTTTAGTTGGACGATCATTTATTTTTCAACAGGACAATGACCCCAAACACACCTCCAGGCTGTGTAAGGGCTATTTGACCAAGAAGGAGAGTGATGGAGTGCTGCGGCAGATGACCTGGCCTCCACAGTCACTGGACCTGAACCCAATCGAGATGGTTTGGGGTGAGCTGGACCGCAGAGTGAAGGCAAAGGGGCCAACAAGTGCTAAACACCTCTGGGAACTCCTTCAAGACTGTTGGAAAACCATTTCAGGTGACTACCTCTTGAAGCTCATGGAGAG